ATTGCTGGGTTGAAGTGAACGGCATTACTTTTCTCAACGTCTACAAGGCACTCAATGACTCGACAGCTATACAGCCTCTCATCAACTGGATTCCACTGCCAAACTCCGTCGCTGCAGGGGGACTTTAACTCGGTATATTGGGCTTGGCAACCTGGCGTGGAACGTCCTCATGGACAAGGAGAAATGATCGAAAAATGGACAGACAAACACCACTTGATCTGTCATATTATTGGGGAACCCACTCATTGAGCCGGGAACACGCTAGATCTAGTTTGGAGTAATATCGACGGCGCCCGTGCTTGGGTAGATCGTGGTGGATGTGTCACCGGCGATCACTTCCCTATCCGAGGACAAATTCCAGTTCGCAACTCAGTGATGAGACCCGAAAAGGCAAAACTCCGAGTAACAAAAGAAAATCTACCCAGATACGTCAAGGTAATTGCACAGTGGGTTCGACCACCACCAGTTCTTGACACAATTGAGAGAGTTGAAGAGTATGCCGAGGAAATTTGTTTCCATCTCACTAATGTAATCAATGCAGTAGGAACACGACCAAAAGCCCACTGCGGTAGATCTGCTCCGTGGTGGACCCCAGAGTGCAAGGCAGCTTTCGCTGAGTATAAAAGCGCGATAACTCCCAGCCAACGGGCACTCTGCGCGAAAAAGCTCCGATCAGTTGTGAAGACCTCGAAAAAGGAGTTCAAAACCCAACAGGTCAAATCAATTACTACGCCGACTGATGTGTTCAAGCTAATGAGAATGGATAACCCCAGACAGGCTAGTATCCCTCCGCCACCGAATCACAATGGAACGTTGATAACAGATCCATTAAAACGGGCCACGATCCTTCGCGACTCCCTCCTGGCACGATTTCAGGCATCAGACGACTTGTCGCCATATACAGTCGCGAGCAGCAGTCGGATACCATGGGCAGAGGACGTAATAGATGAAGAAGTCCAAGCCTGTACCATTGGTTGCGGAAATGCGGCCCCAAGAGCAGATGGAGTCTCCGTAAACCTGCTGGAGGCGTGTTGGGAAACAATCGGATCTTGGATTTCCCAACTGTTCCGAGCTTGCTTTCTGCTTGGCACCCATCCACAGTATTTCAAATTAGCTGAAGTTGTCCTCCTTCAAAAGAAAGATAGAGACCCAACGACAATCAAGGATTGGAGACCAATCGCTCTTCTCCCATGCTTGGGAAAAGGGTTAGAAAGGCTCTTAGCTAAGCGGATGGCACACTTTGCAGCTATCCATGATGTAGTCGGCCAGCAACAGTTTGGTGCACTGCCGAAGCGCTCAGCAACGGATCTAGTCTCATGTGTGGTCCATAACATCAAAGAGGCAAATTCACAAGGATGGGCAGCTACTTTTGTGACGTTGGACATTCAAGGAGCATTCGACGCGGTACTCCATAATCGATTAGTGAGGAGAATGCAGGAGCAGGGATGGCCGGAGTCTATTCTCAAATGGACTAGCTCCTTCCTCGCCAATCGGATGGTTCAAGTGCGATACTCTGGGGGAGTCACTACCAAAAGAGAGCTAGTGTGCGGAAATCCGCAGGGCTCACCGATCTCGCCACTTCTCTTCCTTCTATATATGGTAGAGTCCATGCGAGCTGGAACTCAAGGTCTGAGGTTTAGCTACGCCGACGATATCGGTATCCTTGGATTTGGCCGGACGATTGCAGAGTCTGCAGCCACAGCACAGGACGAGATCAATAACCTACTAGACTGGGCTCGAAATAATGCCGTCGCTTTCGATATAGACAAGTCCGAAGTCGTACAATTCCCCGGACGATACCGCGAAACATCGATTGGAATTTATGTCAACGAAAGCTTCATAGAACCGTCGCAAAATGTCCGCTGGCTTGGTGTATACCTCGATCCTCGACTAAACTTCAAACACCACCTCACAACTTGGTGTGGCAAAGCGTTGAAAATTGCACAGCACATGCGTCGCTTCAATACAGCCTACCGAGGAGCCGCTCCTGGGGCGTTGGTTAAAGCGATCGACACGTGTATTGTCCCAATTGCAACGTACGGATCTGACGTCTGGTGGCCTGGCCTTAGACGCCCAACAGTACGAGGGATGGTGACACCGCCCACTGCTGGCCTATGCAGTATGATTGATAAGGCTGTCTTAATGGTTCTTAGATCAGCACTATCGGGAATGAAGAAAACCCCCAACACCGTACTTCATAGTGTCACGAAATGAGGTCGTGATCTGTACAATCGAACGAAGTAATGAAAGTCTATTCTGATTCTCTAAAGTAATGAAAATACAAGAGTCGCTCTATGATGCGCAGGAGAGTGTTTAATAGAAAGCTATTTTACAGGGGGTATCTTAGCGGGCCCAGGACCCGTGACACATAGAGAAGGAGGAATTCCAACCGGGAAAATCATACTCGAAGGAAACCAACTTCGCCTCTCTGCCAGAATGCAAACACTTGACGACCGCCATCCGCTCAGGATCCGTGCTGCAGTGTGCCCAAATGTCGGTACGCGAAAATATAAGAAGCACAATCGAAAATCTGCGCGTCCTGAAATTCAAATGTCACGGGCTCAGCGTGCTTATAGACAGCTACCAGAGGCAGAGACCGCGGAACCTCTTGCTTCACCATTTTATCAATCGCGACCGAGTTCGAAGGTTGGTTCGAGAAAAGACCAAGTAGAAGCCTGTAAACTTTGGATCACTCATGTGCCAAAGTCAGAAATCTGTGCGTACTCGGACGGATCATCAGAAGGAAACGGACGCTCAGCTTGGGGGTTTGTTCTAAAGCTGGATGAGAAAACTTTTCTAAAAGGAAGTTGCATAAAGCACGGTGGAGAGGCTTTAGACGCAGAAATTGCGGGGGCACAGGAAGCTCTTAAAGCAGCATTGGGTCACCTAAGAGTGAAGGAGTACCTGGCGAAGGGAACGACGCAGTGTATTAATGTGTTGATGGATAGTCGACATGCGATAAATGCACTGAGCACGGGCAGGTCCTCGACCAGCCACGAGGAAGTACGAAAATTTCGCGAACTATGTGGACTAGCTCAGGTAAAAATAAAGTGGGTACCAGGACATTCGGGAATACATGGAAATGAGGAAGCAGACGCAGCGGCAAAATCCGCCCTACGGGCGCTTCCCAGTGTAGAAACTGAGCTAGCAACCACCACGACAACATTTTTACACCAAAAATTGCATCGACAGCGACAGACTTTGCTCGACAGCTGGTGGAATGAAACTTGCCCGTCACGGTATCGTGAGCTAGATCTGCTCATGCGCCATCGCAAACCACCAGAACTGAGGCTTTCCAGATCACTGTTACGAAATCTTATTGCAGCCCGTACGGGCCACGGCAATTTCGCGGCGTACCATCGTCGCTTCAACAATCCACACGCTATCACAGAGTGCATCTGTGGGGAGGAAACCACCCCTACCCACTTCATACATTGTCGACTCAACGCAAATATTACGGGTCGAATTAGAGTGTCATTGTCTCACAGTGCCTTCTTACATAAGCTACTCGGGCCTAAGTGTTTCGAGAGCTTCAAACATTTTGCGCAGGATACCAATTGTTTTGGATATTCTCCTGTGTATCCATCTCCTACTCTCAGTGGAGATCGAACATAACTCGTCCGGAAACTAAACCTGCCAAAATGGGAATCAAGGCGAGAAGTATTGCTTCCAGCTCTAATTTCTTTGCAAATTATATTTTTCATTTGTAGGTTATGGGAGGAGGAGTTCGCGACGGCGCATATTTTTAACTGACTGCTGGTTTTGTGGTGGCTCATACGGTGGAATCAAGCTGGGTATCTCTTAGACGTAGTTCTGGCTGTGAACACCGGTCCTGTACTCATAGTGGACCTAGAGCTTTAGCTTAGGACTTTAAAATAAAAAACAAGACAAAACACCAGCATAGGCCTCAAGGCGCCAAATCAGGACAGTTAAATAATGTTAGACCCTTAGGGTCAATTGAAAATGTAAAGTAAAGTCTATTGGTGAAAGTCTATCTGTCCTAGTCTAAAGAAAAACTACTATATATACACATGCCTCCTGAGAATATCTACGTGTGATGATGAAATGCATGAGCGTCTCCACACAGTGTATCAGGACTGATGCTTTCTAGAAACATCGTGGTTCTGCTTGAGACTGCCCTTCAAACACCCGAGGAAATACCCCAACCCAAAACAGCTCTCACTGATGCGCTACGACTCATCAAACGACGTAGTTTGACCAAAGCCATACCATTCATACAGTTCCATGTTTGACAAATAATTTATTTAATTATTATAATTCAAGTTTCCTCACTGCCTACAAGAAAAGAATTCAGTTTGTCATATTTAAATATTTCAAGATTAGCTAGTTTCTTTCAGGTAGATTCTAAAAATCCTCCATAGTCATAGACTCAAAGAGGACTACAATAAAATCTAATTTATAATTCAAGTTGGGGACAACACTTGCACGCCAAAGTGTCATGTGATCTATGTCATATGACCCGACAACGCGACATAAAAACATATTTAAATATTCCGCGGAGAGAGTTCACACATTTAATAGCTAGGTGCGTGTCACAAATTTCTTTGGAAAAGGACAACAAGTCTGACCGAAAGGGAGTCATGTGATTCAACTAAGTTCCCCGTTCCTTCTTTTTTATGTAATTTATTCTTCATTCAATACTATCGGAAAGCATGAGAGTTGCAGGGAGACCGGTAACCATATTTAATTTAATCTTCAAGCGCAGGATGATAAGATCCTGCCTTTCATTTGCTTTGTTGGGTTTGTTCAGGCGCCAACACGTCGGGTAGTTTTATTTAGACTAAGCTAACCGGCACGTGAGGAGCTCACGTGCTGTGCGCGGGCACGACATTAAGTATTATAAATAAATGAATAAATAAAAATAACATATTTAAATCCGGCCAATCAAATACGGACAGATCTCAGCCCAACATAGTTGAGAGTAGGAGCAAGTAATTGGAGAGGACTTTAAAGAGCTCAGAGGAGGACTTGTTTCTCGACTATATTTGAACATCTTTGCCGAAAATTACATAGTCAGCTTCAATGATAGTTCCATTTCGCAGCTGTTTAGGGGGTGGTGTGAGTGAGGAATCAATTTTGTAGCCTAGTTTGGCGTAGAATTTCATGGCGTGTGAATTTCGAACGAAGCACGTCAACATAGTCTTCTCGGTTTCGGGGATACTAGCTGCAATAGTATCTAGCAGTCGCATGAGCCATGAGCCGAGTCCGGTCCTATTAGCGATGATCATTATTAGCTCGGGCTACGCAGGGGAAGAGGAATTAATGGGTTTCCCTTGTCTATTAGGATTTAACAATCACCAGCGTACATACCCCTGCAGTGGTACTGATAGGTGAATTTCATAGCAGTAGAGAACGAATTTGCCGACTTCCATGGTTGGCATGAAGGACAGAAAGCCCTCAGTTTGATTATCATGCTTTACGAGTATATATTTGAGATCCGGCAGCTGCATCTCATATCGTTTGAAGTGAGGGTTCCATCCGTGTTGACTCTTCCGATAGTTTTCCGAGCTACTTTCCTCGATAAGATTGAAGCAGCGGTCTAAATCTTGGGGGGGGAGGGAAGCAGATGAGTGAAAATTAATCTCATAGGTTAGGCCCGTCTGAGGATGTGTCCAATTTTTCCAGTCGCTATCGAGAGGTAGATAGTCTCTTTCGAATTCAGATACAGTCTTCGCATTAGCTTCTCGGAGTGTGGTTTGCATTGATAAGATGTCTCCAGCTGCCATAATGTTTTGTGTTATTACCATTATCATTGTTATTATAGTTTTGTAGTGTAATGTTGACATATTGTGATTGGCGATGCTTCGGTAAGCTTAGCGCAAGAGGACAAAGGCTGTAAATCTGTATGCAGTGTGTCTGCGAACCACGATATGAAATACGTTCTTGAATTTGAATTTATTAACCTGTGTTGGCGCCCTGTGGGCCAATGCAGGTGGCTACAAACCTATCTATGTATTTCCATACGAGGGAGCGTCTCGATGAAAACCTCACCAACTTTCCGACTTATTTCTTGAAATTTGCAATTCATCCTTCAGGAAGCACAATTATACTGTAATGCCGTCTTTGAGTACCAATCATCTCCCCTGTATCGACCGCAACCTTGTTTGTTTTTTATTATTATTTAAGGTCCAGTGGGACGCCAAGTTGAAGCTTGAGCCCATGCTACATACTTAGTACTCGACATAGACGCCAGCGCGCAGGCATAGACGAATTCTTCACCTTCCAGTGGTGCCAGTGTAATCGCTCAGTATGCTCTGCATCTCTGGGATAGCCAAGAAGAATCGTATCCGGATCGAAGTCGAAAACAAACACATCTATCATCGGCGACTTCTCATCAATATCGGTCTTTTCATTCTCACGGGAGTCCTCTATCTTGACCTCTCCACACACCATCTCGCCTCGATCACCGATAAAGGCGTCGCCCCAATTGCAGACAGGAGCTTGCCTCGTTCATTACCGGCCATATCTCATTACAAATTTACGACGCTACGTATACCCGCAAGAAGGAAATTAAGTCATAAAAATACAAATTTGGGGTCTTGGTTTATGGGGGACTGATGCTCTAATGGGGTTATACATCTTGAGGAGGGATAGGCGGCTGGGATGCGAAGCGAGAGAGGGATCAGGTCTCTGAAGATCATGCTGGGACTGACATTTCTGAGGTGTTTTCAACCTTGGACTTTTTATGGGCGCCAAGACCAAGATTTCGGCTAATTAGCCAGGAGGGCTTCTATTATCAATGAGTCAACGGCACTCCCAAGCGCCCTGGACGATTCTAAAGGAGTTGGGCCTAGCTATCATATATCAATCGCGCTCTGTCAAGACTTTTCTCAAATTTCAGCACGACCTTCGGAAAAGAGTTGGGAGGAGGCTAGAAAGGCAGAGGGTAAATTTTTCGAGGTACTCGCAAGTCTGCAGCGCCCAGCTAGCTGACCTCTTCGAACGCTTCGGAAGGATCACTATGTCTTCGGATTTAGCCCTACTGTCGGTATTAGAAGAGCCCCGCACCAATTGGTTTTTCCGATTTCCCCGGCTGCCATACACCCGCAACTGGCCATCGTTTCGTTGGCTGAAGAGGGGAGATAATGAAGGGCAAAGGGCTCCTCTAAGTGTATGATCGAATGAGGACTTGTGAGGGGCGGTACTGTTTGAGGGGAGCTGTATGGGAGGCATAGGAGGGTGATGAAATATGAAAACTTATTCGTGACGGGCACAAGCCCTACACTCAAAGAGCATGACACGGGGAAGACTAGCTTCTCCGGCGACTATATACGATGATAACTCAGTTTTTCACTTGGACTACTCATATAGTGAGTGCATTCGCTGATACCACTCGAGATATTGGTGCTAGGAACCTTCACCCTTCCCTCAACACTTAATATCCACCAAAGGGAAAACATGAAAAACCTTTGGCTACCCTATCATGCCTTTGCCATCTTGTATATAGCCGCCGCGTGAGATATGGCCTCACAGTCCTCCCTTTCTCGGGTGAGATAGGTGTCCAGGCTACCCAGACTTCAATCTGGGAAGATGACGTCCATGTGGCGGACCAAAATACCTTCAATCTTTGCCTATTTCTAGAGTGCCGGCTGCATTATCCAAAATCGTTGCTTCTGCGCCCACAGACAATCTCAAGTCAAAGAGACTCGAAAAATGTGCGTCCCAGCATGCCCATTTGTGACCTCTTCACCCGTTCGTCCCACGTCCTAGCTTCCTGTCCTCCCTCAAGATGTCAAGTCCCATTAGAGCAACGGTCCCCCATAGACCAAGACCCGAGCTTTGTAGATTATGACTTGAATTCCTTCTCGCGGGTATACAAAGCATCGTAAATGTGTAGTGGGAGATGGCCGGGTTTTGATGAGGCAAATGCCTGATTGCAATTGGAGTAACACTATTATCGGTATTTGAGGCGAGGTGGTGAGATAAGATTGAGGTGGAGGACTCCCGTGAGAATGAAAAGACCGATATTGATGAGAAGTCGCCTATGATAGATGTGTTTGTTTTCGACTTCGATCCGGATCCATTCTTCTTGGCTATCCCAGATATGCAGAGCATATTGAGCGATTACACCGGCACCACTGGAAGGTGAAGAGTTCGTCTTTGCCGGCGATGCATAAGTGGGATGATGATTTTATTTATCGTGCCAGGCTCACACCCTCCATCCAATGGACGTAACACGCATGGAGGACATCTAGAATACAAGTTCCTCCATTCCCCAGCAAAGCCCATCCGGTGCCTGACTTTTCCAAATACGTGCATCACGCTAGTTACATCGGGTCGAATAGGTAGGAACGCATTCACCAAGATCCAAAGACCATGTATTGAGGGATAACCCTCGCGGGAAAGCCTCAATAATTCCTCTCGTACTCTTTCACGACAAGCGGCCGTAGAAATATGAGAGGGGATGATTATGATATTACTTAAAGTCTACTAGAGAGCACGGGTCTAGTACCACATGTTCAATTATCTCTGTAGAGGGCAAAGGGCGCTAGAGCTGGGGCTCTAGACAACATACAGTCAAACCCCTGTTAAGACGATGTAATCGGGGCCGTGAAAAATATCGTCTTAAAGGATTTGACGACCTAATCCATCTACAGTCAGACCCCTGTCGAATGACGTAGTCGGGCCGGAAAAAATATAGTCTTAACGAGGATCGTCTTAACAGGGGTCTGACTATAATAAGGAGAGACAGTCTAACCTATTGCGAGCTAGCCGAACTGCACCTACAGGTCTAATCCCTTTTTTTTTGCATCAGATTTGAATTGCGAATGTAACATTTTAGCTATGACACAATATCAAAGACAATTTTTTGAAATTCGAAAATTCGAATCTTCACCTTTTCCCCCTCTCGCGCTCGTCGCATTCTATCAAATAATTGTGATCGAGTCACTGGCATTTTCACCACGCCGCCTGTTCGAAAAAAGCGTCCCAACGCCAAGTTGGACAACACGAGAGTCCACCCGAGGGCTCTCGAGCAAGTACCTGGCCTTGCCCAGTCTCCGAAATGCGCGGAGATGAGCAAGGGCTCAATCAAAGGGAAGGAAAAAGCCCTCCCCGCCGTCACTGAACCGGATACTGACATGATCGGGTCAGTCGAAATTGTTGAGGAAATCCCTCAGCGACCCTCCGTCCCCCACGGGATTGGAGAATCGTCCAAACCTCGTCCGATCGCCTCAAAACCGTCGGAGAACGCTGCACCCATAGCAGCGTGAACATCAACGTCGCAGCCAAAAGCTGCCACGAAAGCAGAGTGTCCCCTCGAGCTCCGACCAATAGTCGAAGCTGAACAACGACGCGCCGCCGAAATAACGGCAAATCTAGCCCTCTGCTCCGCCGCCATCTCTGGCGTCGAAGTCACCCTCCTCCCTTTGACCAACGGGTCAAATAGACAATTCGTAGACTCGATGAGGGTCTACCTACGCGCTGTCATCGCGCAATACATGGCCACGGGCCCGGCCACTACGTCACCCGTTCTTCCTCCTCGCCCGACGAACCCTCTCTCAAGAGTTCCCGACGCCAGGAGCCAAACAATACTCACCGTCCCAGCTCTGCTCGTCAAAAGCACCTGGGCCACGGTAGCCAGAAACGTACTGCGACAGAAAGCAGTCCCAACTGCAAAAGCTGTGCCGCAACCTGCGGCAAAACCTCACCAAAAAGAAACCCCCAAGGCTAAAGTCGACAAGCGACTGTTCCTTCGCCTTGAAAAGGACCACCTGTGGCAAAAACTGTCCACAAGTTGCGTGAGAAGTAAATTGGAGATGAGATTCCTTTTCTTTCAGGATAAAATAACCTCGCTTTATCGAGTGAGGACCGGCTTTGCTATGCTAGCAAAGGACGAAAAAACACGACAAGAGATGCTAGATGGCTCTTCGAAGCTGGCGAGTGAAAACTCCAAACTCGAGGCATCTTCAGATCTTGTAGCCTTACAGATACCAAACGTACCTGTAAGTATAATCACAGAGCGAGGCCCTATGGCGGTCGATTCTGAGTGGGTCTTCGACAAGATCGCTGTTATGACCGGCGCGAGACCAATACACGTCCGACCTCATGGGACGTGTTGACCTGGGGCACCGCACCGAAACTAGCATGCCCTTTTCGACCGGGAAGTCGCCCCTCGTGCGGGCTTCCGCCTCTTCGACGAGTCTAGTAGGGCTACCATACACAAGCCTCGTCGACAAATTGAACAGTGTAAACGCTGTTTGGGCTTCCACGCCACTCGTGGTTGCTCCAGCCTGCTGGAACTGCGGCTCCAACATGCAATCGGAAGCCGATTGCAAGGCCCTCACTAAGTGTCGCAACTGTGGGGGACCCCACCGATCGGATTCTTGGGACTGCCAAGTCAGATTCAGAAAGTCTGGACCGGTGACAAAAGAGCAGCTCGCGTGGATACGCCACCTCGAGCAAGGGAAGTTCGCGGAGGCGGCTCGAGCTAGGGCCGCAGCCAAAAAGGCTGAAGAGGCGATTGTCGCCGCGGCGAAGGATACCGCAATGGCCGAGGCAACAGGTTTCGGAGTGCTGGGACCTGAAGAAGAAGTTTGAGGACACAGCAACCTCGACGATGTCCCCTTCTGGGGCATCTACTAACAATTAGCAGGATACCGGCTGGATCAAAGGTGCCTGCTAACTCATCTACTGCTCTTAGCAGAGATTAAGTAAATTTGTCATTTGGAAGGTGTGACGGACGACGGAATGTGTGAGGAGCACATTGACTGGGTCCATCATGGAGGAATCTTCTGGTTTTTCGGAGTTTTGATTTTCTTGATTTTTCACTTCTGTCTAATTAGCTGCACTTTTGGTAGCCATTCACGAGGTTGGAACGAGTTAGGCTGTAGGAAAGATTACAGGGAACCCTGCAGGCTCCGCCTTTCCTTGACCCAATGTGGAAAACATAGCTTTAGCTTAGGACAAAATAAACAAAACAAAATAATATCAAAGAAAAGTACAGAGTAGATGATTCAACATAAAGGAAGAGCACTCATGCTTCGGATTTCATTTGCAAGTACTACTGCGAAGTTATGGCGGCTTTTTCTTCACCCCAAGTCAGCCCTCGCCTGCGTGTACTCACTCAGGGAAACGCCTCATAAACCCTGAGTTATCTAGGCGTGCCTCCATCATCCATGAGCTTTTCTCCGCGCGAAATATGGTCTGAGGTGTCTCCTTCCCAAGCGGAGAAGGTGCTCAGGCTACTCAGACTATAACGGAGAACACCACCAGGAGGCGGACCACAACACCTTCCATCGTTGGCTTGTGTTTATAGTGTCAGCTGCACTCTGGCTAATCCCTTAAACAGCCCAGTTTCAAGCATAACATTTTGTAACCTAGAGGCACTGTATATAACTAGTCCGAGATGTCATACGTAGATAATTCTTTAGCCTTTGGACTGGATCTAGACTTATGCTTGGACAAGTCTCCTAAGACCTAAAGCCAAATTTTGCAGTACCAAAATATTTGGCTCACAAGGCAGTGATTCAAGATACTCAACTATGTCAATCTTTCACTCTCAACGAGATCAATTCCTGCTGAAGCCTCATCAATTCTGCAAGTACGACCAAGTATAGCTTCATTTCAATGACCACACCTCCCATTGACTAGTCTATAGCCTCAGTCGGCCACGAAATATACGCTCACAGCAATACGAATACCCGCAGAAGGACAAAACTTTTGGCACGCAAATCTTGAAGGCAGTCCTTTGGGGTGCACGTGAGAGAAACTAGAAAAAGCTCAAAAAATGATGCAAGAGATGAGTACCAAGTCGGCGGTAATAGATTTCAAATTTTCGCATAGACTTACATGTTCAAGTGCTTTGTGCATATCACATCTTCGGCTGCGAGAGTGCAGCTGACACTACAAAAATGTCAACGATGAAAGGTGCCTTGGTTTGCGTCCTGGTGGTGTTCTCTAGTATAGTTTGAGTAGCCTTAGCACCTACTCCACTTGGAAAGGAGACGCTTGAGATCATATTTTGCGCGGAGAAAAGCTCTTGGATGATAGAGGCACGCCTAGATAACTCAGGGTTTATGAGGCGTTTCCCTGAGTGAATATACGCAGGCGAGGGCTGACTTGGGGTGAAGAAGAATCCACAATTACTACGCCGTCGTACCCGCAAACTGCTGTAAAGGTAAGGACTTAAGGGGGCTTACTTACAGAAGGTCTACGGATGATTATCGATGAATTAATTTGGACTGCTGATTTGCTTGGTATTCAGAACTATGACTCAGAAGGTAGAAAGCGGTATTTTTATACATCCGTGGTAGCTAGACTCTAGCCTTATTTTCCCGAAACAGTATCACGCAATATTTTAGTATCCTCCATCTGGTGTTATAATCTAGAAACATTTTCCACACAGTGCTCCATGATTCCTCTACTCACTACGGAGCCACCAGGGAAGTTCTTCCTTGACTCTCAGTGGTCATTACCCTTGTGCATCGTAATCATGGTCATCATTAGCGCAACGCAAACGAAATCCGAGGCCTGAATGTTGTATTTTTTAAATTAAGTCTACTATACTGTACTATTTATCTGATGTTATGTTACAGCTTGAAAGCTGCATACGTCAATACGCAATAAAAAGGAAAGAAAGACATTTGACAGAAAAATTGGGGAGGTTTTCACCGTGTGGTATTCTACAATGTTAATATTAATATAAATAAACGCCTTCATGGCCCCGCGGGACACAATATCAGCATAATTAAATGAAAAGGAAATATATTTCGAATGGATAGCCGAGGCCATGTTCGGGTCGAAAGATCTTAATCAATGCGGAGATTTGTCTCGTCCTGAGGCCTCTATGGGATACCACCGAAAGGAACCAATAAGATTGAAGTAACATGAAATTAGCGGGTCGGAACGGAAATAACTGGGATAGATACCTGACCATCTACAACCTCTCATACAGTCTAAATGTCGCCGATACACCCCCGTGTTCCTAAAGTGCAATTAAATTCTGCTTTATCTCTTGGTCATGTGTGTCCCATCGATTGTGACGTTGATGATCTGATATATCTGATCTTGAGGTAGTTTATCCAACGCACAAAAGTACTAGCTCTTTATCGCTCCATTATTCGCTCATCCCGAAATATTCCAGACAGCCACACGCGGCGCGAAACGATTCTCTACGTAAAAAATGAATTTAATAGTAACCAAAATGTGAAAGATTTGGTTCGTCTCCTTCATTGGCTTTGATATGGTGTGCTTGGGCAATATCTACGAGGCTATTTGTAGTAAGGGTGTACCTTGCTAACATCGAGCTATACACAGAAACAAATTCGATACTTAGTCTCCACTGGTAAATCGCAGTGGCAAAGGGCAGAGAAGTTTTTGGTGGCGTTCAGAACAATGTAGCCATGGTATCTTGTAAGGAGTGAGGAAGAGAAGTTAGGTTGTAAGCTCCAGTAATTGAACACACAAACACCATCAAATTTTCTGCCTTTGCCAACCTGCGTAATATGTGCTTGCTATGATATTCTTAAACGCCAGCCCTTCAATTTCTCAGTTTTTGTACCCGTGAGTTCGAGCTTTTGCGATGAAATTAGATGAAATGGTCATTATTCAGTAGTATGTATTGATGATAGTGCTGATTTCGAATACGAGGCCCAGGATTTTCTATTTTCCTTGTCGTTGTTTGTGCTTTGGATTAAGCTTACATATAATGTAAACGGAACCTTTGCCTTTCTTGCCACCCTTTCTTATCACAGCCTGTATTTTGTAATCGTTAATTTCAGATATCTCTACTTAGATTTAAGCACTACTTAACCCATTCTCTTGGTCTCCACTTCAGTCACAGTCGACGTGCCGGCTTAAATTGGATACTTTCTACTCAAACTGATCCAAATATAAGGACAAGAGAAAAATCGCGTCTCACCTTACAGCCCTCACACATTTTCTTAACTGAACTTCGTACCTTCATTCCTCTTGTCAAGATTAATCCTCGCGCGAAGCTGGTGATCTTGTCGCTCTCCTTGATATTCAATCCACATGATAAGGGTTTCGAGCTACTATCATGGCCCGATAATATTTGGGGACGTTTGGCGGACCATAATGTTGGAGTGGAAATGTGCCTTTTGATGCTTCCGGCCCATTGAACTGAAATGAGATTGGGAGTCATATATCGAGAAATACGAGATTGCGCCGAATGAATAAAGCGATACATTTTGGGTTAATAAACTTTGGTGGCAGCCGAGAGTGGATAAATAGGTGTTATCAGCAATTCGAGGCGCCCTACACACTATTGCGTACATGCTGTCATTTCGGCTAGCTTAACTTTTATATTAGCAGCTTTTTTAGGGACTAGCGCATTCATGTGGCATAACTTCTCACTACAGCTGCTTAATAGCATTGCAAGATTCTTTTCACTCTAGGGATCATCAGGAAGAGAAAGACTAATTACCTTTGCGATAATTCCTTTTCCAATCAGCGAATGAAATACTGTCCCAGAGCTAAGTTCAGTCAAATTTTGCAGTTCCAAGATATTAGGCTCACAAGGCAGTGATTCAAGATACTCAACCATGTCAATTTTCTATTTCAACGAGATCAATTCTTACTGAAGCCTCATCAATTCTGCAAGTACGACCAAGCATATCTTCATTTCGATGACCACACCTCCCATTGGCTAGTCTGTGGCCTCAGCTAGCCACGAAATATACGCTGACGACAATACGAATACCCGCAGGAGGACAAAACTTGTGGCGCAAATTTTTTGGGAGGCAGTTCCTTGGGATGGAATTGAAAGAAAGTAGGACAAGTTTACAAGATGATGCTAGGAATAGATAAAGTCTGGTTAGGGGTGAAGATTCGATATTTGGAATGGAGTTTGGACGTTGAAGAAAATTGTACTCGCCACGATTTTGTTTGCTACAGTGCACAAAACGGTAACCCCGTCAGACAGGCCCTCCCAGCAGGCTCCAGATAATTAGGATACCTATTCTATTTGAGATAGGAGATCCATAGTTCGTTATCAGGAAAGCTCTTAAACATTTCACGCAGAGCTCTTGTTTCTGGATAGTAAAGTCATAATTGGATGTTAAATTTTTGCGGAGCCTTTCCTCGGTGTGAACTCACGGGGTACTGTTGCTTGTTATGTGTAAATAAATAAAACTCAAAGTGACATTTTGGATCATCAACCTGATTATGAGAGTCTCTAAAGCCAAAGTATCCATTTATTTATATTAAATGACGGTTATGTATCACAATTACGCCCTCATGGCTCCATGCGTATAATCACTGTAGGAGTGTAGGTCTTGGGCACCACAAATATAAACGTGACATGAATGCCAATCAAGCCTTGGCATTACTCAGCGAACACCCACGCATCATGTATATAGATCTCGCTGTAGTTACTCCTTCTCCTTTCATAGCCAATCTATCTTCATTTCCCCAGGCTGCCTCTCTTCCATTTCCCCACCTCGTGATTATCACAGCTAGATATCTGAAAATAAATTGTTGAAGTAAAATAAGCGAACCTCGGGTGATCGATACAGCTAGGGCTAAGCATCAGCTATAATTTTCCGCTCATGAATGGGCTTTCCACCACCCGTCATGAGTTCAAGTCATGCTGGGCAAGAGGAAGGTTGATATTGTATCAAAATTCTACGTTTGTCGGAGACCAGAGATCAGAGGATGAGAGGTTCCTCTAAGCGAATGATATATAAATATTTGTCAGGGATAGCGCTATTTGGTTGGAGCTATAATGTAACCTTGGCATTTCGTGTTCGTAAGTAGAGAGGACCGAAATCTTATCAAAAGTCGTAGGGCAAAATTTGGCAACCATAATGTCGAAATTAACATTGGCTTGGCCTTGAAGCACACGGGCGTGTTCCTCTGGATCAACAAGCATACAATTGTAATTTTCATATTTGAAATTAACCGATAAATTAAACAACTGATTGGATAGAACTGTAAGTATTCTTTCATAGTCTAGGACTCAGTAGAGGTTTCAATTTATATCAATAAACCAGTCGGCTTGGAAGTTCTGTAACATAGACTGGGGAAGGATAATGTACCGGCATGGCCAAGGTACTGTGAGTATACACTGAAATCATAGCGTTGATCGATACCAAACTGTACATCAGCCAACACACTGACACTGTAAAGCTTTAATGAATTCAGATGTTCTTGAAAGACAATATTTCTGTTGGAATTAATAACTTCTTCCTTGGATAGAAAATCTATCACGTCATCTCCTATCCCTTTATGTCCTGTACGGGATTATCTTGTTTTCCCCCCTGAATCATACGAGACTAATCCATCTACTACGGTATATCAACCCCCAATAGCATAGTGTGTGAATATTGGCGTTGGTATTTATTTATTTATTTATATTAACGTCGTGCCTGCGCACAACACAGTGCTTTTAAGCCCCATGCCGGTTAGCTCAGCCTATAAAGGGCTACCCGACGCACCGGCATTCCCATAACAAAAACCCGATAAAGACCCCACTGCTCCCGGTCCGCATAGTCGCCAGATCAGGGAGACTCTTCTTAAATTGATATAAATTATATAATTAAAGGCGGAACTTAAATTACATGTGGATATTCGTATTTAGATAGCGTTGATGTCTAAGTAATCAGGGTTGTCCTACAAATGTAGGTGCCAACAGAGCTTCCCCCATTAATGATACCTTTGAAACTCTTCGAAAAAATAGAGTGGACTTAAGCCACTCTCGGAACAAGATAGCTCCTTCTGGTGAGCTTAAAATCCAGCGAGCGTCTGGGGGACGGGGGCGATTGGCTCCACGAAGCCGCGCCTGTAGTAGGCCATGTTGACAGGTCATGAAATGCTCCGGCGATTTATCATGTCCACAGGAGCATGTTAAAGGTGCGCTGTTGTGTGCGAAACGACGGTGGTATGCTGCAAAATCACCATGGCCCGACCGCGCAGCGAGAAGAAGGCCGAGGGACCGACGATCCATACTAGCGAGCTCTGGGGTGATGCGGGAGCTTGGCCCGATTCTGAGCGCTCTATACCGGTCAGGGGCTTTTCGCGACCAGTATTCCGACGCAGAGGCCTCGTAGCGAAGAATGACAATTCTCCTTGCTCTGGCAATGGAAGGGGCCAGGTTGGGGGCGGTTATGATACAGGCCGCTTTGGCGAGAGCATCTGCCTTTTCATTTCCAGGGATTCCTGAATGCGCTGGGCACCAGCGTACAGAGACCCTTCCTGGCTCAGTGTATCTGGCACGGTTCCTTGAAGGCCAGGATCTTGCAAGATCCCGAAATTTTGCGATCCGAGTCGAGCTGGATGGGGTCGGCGGTCAAAGGAGTAAGCGAGACGCTGCCTCTTGGTTGTCGAGACAGACAGTGATGTTGGTGGCGTAGTATGCCATTGGGTTTCTAATTGCAGCTGCGAGGCCTTCCATGGCCCCGACGACTTCTGCATCATATACTTCTGCTGATTGACCCAGAGGAACAGAGCCTTGATCAATCACATGTTTTGCGCCGCGATAAATGCAGTACCCTGCCCCTGCTGAGCCTTCCATCAGAGCTCCGTCTGAGAAAACGAAGAGGTCTAGGGGCGGTGCTGAGGAATGCCATTGGGTGAAGACTTGGAGCCCTGCTTCACGACCAACTGCTCCAATTGCTGCGAGTATTTCGTCTCTTTTTGGTGTCCAGGGAGGTGAAGTCGTGTTTATTGATAGTTCTGAGGAAATTCTGCGCCGAATCCAAGCCATTCTCGGAGATTTCCAGCGCAGTCGCAAGGGATGTTGAGGATCTGACGAGGCAACTCGCACTGCAAGCCGGTTGAGGATACGTTCGAGCCACCCCTGAGCTGATGACCATCCAGTTTTCCGCAGAAGGGCGGCCACTGGAGTGGTTTTGTACACTGGCAGTGCTGCACGGGCTGCATCGTTTATCCTGCGTTGAATACGGGCAATATCTTCTTTGCAGGTATTTGCTGAGAACCAGGTTTCGGCTCCGTAGAAAAGGGTTGTAAACGCTGCCCCTTGTAAAGCCTGTCTGACTAGAGCTGGTCGGATACCTCGAGCGGTATTGCAGAGGCTTTTTATGTGCGCTGTGACAGCCGTAACTCTACCGCAAGCTTGCTTAATATGGTGGCGAAATTTCAAGCGGCGATCAAAGTGGACTCCCAGCCAACGAGTTTGGTCGTTCGGCCTGATCTCGACGCTGTCTACCCGGAGGCTTGGCTCAAATGGTTTCCCCTTTTTCCGGTGGAAACATTGGAGCTCAGTCTTTGTTATCTCTAGCTCGATTCCGTTAAGACTTCCCCAAGCAAGTACGTTGTCCAGCTTTTCTTGGAGGCGAGCTGCGCATTCAGGTAGAGATGGTGCGGAAGCGAAAATTGCTGCATCGTCAGCATAGCCGAAGCACTCTGGCGAGAGGCGCAGCATGCCTTCGATAGCCAGGAGGAACAAAATATGTGAGACCGGTGATCCCTGTGGGAGGCCGCATTTTATGGCTAAGGGTGGAGTAGTTGTCCCGTCTAGTCCGGGGGACGATGAGGAGACTACGCAGCAAGATCTGAAGATTTTCTGATTAGTTAGTGCAGGCCAGGGGAGGCTTCTTCTTGCAACATTTGGAATTCCCATGACTATATCCTCATGCTCCATGTGCCTACTCAGTAGAGCCCCCTGAAGTAGTTGTGCCATGGCCATGGGAGTGAAGACGAGTCCGTCTGGGCCATTGAGTGGAGGGGTATGAAAACAGGGTGTTTTCTTATGCCAGCTTGTAACCCTATACGCTTCTGTGAGACAAGAGACCTGATCTACTTTTTCGCGCCACATTTCTCGCTTAGCTTTTTTCACCGCCTTGCCAAAGGCGCGGCGTTCAGCGATGGTCACTGATCCCGAGCGCTTGGCTTGGTAGAGTGCGTTGTGCGTGTTTGTACAGTCCCTGGTCCACCATCGATTTCGCGGTCCCTGTGTACATTTTCTGGGACACGTAGCGTTGAGAGCACCTTGGAGAGCATCTACCAGGAAAGAAGCTTCTCTCTCTGGGTCTGGAGAGGGTGCGGCCACTAGTCTGTCGGAGATAATTTTACGGAAGGTGACCCAGTTGCAAGCAGAGTATCTGAGTTTTCCAGAGGTATCTCTTTCAGGTCCTGTGTCTGAAAGTTGAGTTAGTAGAGTTCTGTGGTCTGACCCGACTTCCAAGTCGTTTCGGATAGCACAAGATGCGTTGAGACTATGTCGTGCGAAGCAAAGATCGATAGTAGCGCCGGCATCATGAGTGGGGGCATAGTATACATTCAACAACGTTATTCCCCTTGCAGTTGTCCATTCGAGTAATGAGTCGCCTTCCGAATTTTCGTTATATGCTGATGGGTCCCAGGCCGAGTGGTGGATATTGAAGTCACCAGCTAAAATTTCTGGGGTATCAGAAAGGTTGAGAAGAAGCTGAAGGCCATCCCCAGCGCCAACCGCGCCTACTGGAGCATTGTATATATTCCAGCAGTCAATGGTACGCTTTCCGCGTCGAGAGACGCAAATCTGAAGAAGGTCGCGTGAGTAAATACTGGGTTGGAAAGGTGAAAGGCCGCACCCCTTGCGAGTGTAGGTCATTACGCGAGGCCGGCTGGTCCAGATTGGAAGGGGAGAGAAAGAAATGTATTCTGGGTCATTTTTAGTTAATTTGCGCGAGAGATCAGTACTTATCCAGGGTTCTTGAATTAGTACTAGATCTGCTCCGCTTTTAGAGGCAAGTTCGAGGGCGGAGTCGTGTGCCGGGCTCCGCTTACCCACAATTACCTGGAATATGCACAAACCGTTGATTGATTGGGATTTGTGCGACCGGCCCCGAGTCATCATAATGATTCCTCCATGATCATCAGGGCGGAGTATCGTGACTCTTGTCCAATTTGTGGAGGAGAGGGGGAGGCGATTCTTGTGGGTTGGGTAGGAACCTGATAGTTCCTGGAGCTCGCAGCGGCCTGGGGAGAGATTGGAGGGTGTAGTGCGGTCCAGGCCTTTAGGCCCTCGCTTCGGATAGCTCGGAGTCTAGTTTTATCAGGGCGGGCGAAGCTTCCGTTGGCGCGGATGGGTCGCGCGGGGCAGCCTAAAGAAAATGATGGATGAGGTCCGTCACAGTTAAGGCATTTTTCTGGTCTGGTGCAGGGCCCGACGTGGAAATCCGCGGCGTATGTCCCACACCGAGGGCGGCGAGTGCATCTATTGACATTGTGGAATGCGTGGCAACGAGAACACACCTGGAGTGGGGGCTGGTGGTCTACTTGTCGGAGCTTCACCGCTCGAGCAAATAGTCGCAGGTTTGTTGGGTACTTTTTAGCGGACTCGGAAGCTATCACTAGGCGTATAGTCCCTTCGTGGTCCGGAGAGAGTTCAGAGCGGCGAGTCCACGACATGGAGAAGATTGCTTCGGGGTCAATCTTCGTAGTGGCTAGTTCCTGCCGAATTTCAGACATGGTGAGGGCTTCACGTTCCCCCAAATAGTTGTAGCCAAACTTAGGGACTGGTCCTAAGATGAATGTATTGCGATTTTCCTGGCGCTCTATTGGAGCGTCTCCCGTAATCGTCTGAAATGCCGAGGCTACTTGAAGTAGTTCGGGGGCTTGGGCGGCGGTGGGCGCTACTATGGCGATTCCAGAGGGAACTATGCGCACATCTTTGATGAGCTCTGGCCGGTCAGTTAGTCTCCGGAGTCTTGTGCGGATGAGAAATGTATCTTGTCCTCGGATCGGGTGATCGGCCGGTAGGCGTACGATAACTCTTGAGTCGACCTTAGGCGCTTTGGGGAGAGACTTGGCCTGCTTCGGTGGTGGTGCAGTAACAGTCTTCTTTGTTAGGGTAGTCTGAGCCGCTAGAATGGGGTTTCGGGAAGCTGCCGTCGCGTACGTCTGCTTCTGAGAGGTATCGGGACGGTGTTGACGAGTTGCCGGCTCGGCACTTCGATTGGTTGTTTGAGGGTTTTCGCCTGTGGTTGTCTGATCAAATACAGATAGGCCAGTGATGACCCTAGCAGCACTACGAGTGACGATTGCCTTGAGATCTGCCGCTATTGCAGGTGGGAGGGAGCGGAGATGGATAGCCCCGGCATTTTGCCAGGCTAGAAGAGTAGTGGCTAGTTCGTTAGTGGTGGCCGATGATGGGTTGGCCACAGAGCGTTGTACAGCCGCGGCTGGGGCAGGCGCCTGCCTTGTGTTTCTGGTAGCTTGGCCGCTCGGAGGGGGGTGGGTTGCTACCGCAAAAATGGATGAAGCAAGGCCTTGATCCTGAGTTGACAAGACCTCGGAACTTTGGGCGTAGTCCGCTGTAAAGGGACGGACGGAATATGGCTGTTTGACGGCGGCTGAGACAAAATCTGCAGCGCGTCATCTTCTGCCTCGAGGTCCATGAATTCATCCTCAGAATCTATGTGCATGTCTAGAGGGGCGGGGGGAACTTGATTTAGTTCAACAGGCATCCGAGGTTCCGCGATGAGTGTTGGGGATGATTGTTTATTACGCTTTGTAATGCGCGTGGATGAGGCAGCCCCTACTGGGCTGGGGTTGAGCTTTTTCCTCCGCCTTAAAGCAGGCATTGTCGCCGACTTGACGGTCAGTTTCCAGTTGTGTATCTATCGTAAATGGTATGGGTTCGTCGGTAGCGTACGGATTCGAATGTCATACAATACTGTGCTGTGTTGCACTTCCTTGTTCAGGTTGTGGTTGAAGGTGTATCTGATATTGGCGCTGGTAGAGTAACTAAGGGGGAGATTTATGGAGGTTAGTCACGTGGTGTCGGTGCGGCGTTGGGGCTTACTCCCGTTCTTGATTTGTATTCATTATCCTGATTTGGCGCCCTGTGGGCTCATGCAGGTGGCTATTACCCTATCTATATATTTACATAGGAGGAAACCTCTCGATAAAAATCTCCCTAGCTTCCTGATTTGTATCTTTGAAATTTGTAATTTATCCTTCAGGGAGCACAGTTACACTGTAGTGCCGTCTGTATGTACCAATCACGTCCCCTCTAACGACCCCAACCTTGTGCCAGTCCTGCCTCGTTCCCTAATCAGCATTTCGACTGCATTTGTCATGCGGAATTGATCTATCCAACCGTGACTAAGAATCCATTGCATAATTCTTTTAATATCACCAGGATTGTCTATCATGGCTTCGTAGGACCGGTCTTTGGCTTGTCTCCAGATCTCACCCCTACCGCTTGACCACTTAGGGCAGGACATGATCATATGCTTGGGATTTTGTGATTGGTAGCCACACGGACAGCATGGATTGTAGAATTCTGGTACTTTTCTTCTATGCAAATACGAATTGAGCCCGATATGCTTGCTTCGAATTTGGATTGCTAAGCTACTTTGGGCCCTTGTCAGGTTTTTATGGAGAGTAAGAGGAGTTTTCTGGAAACTTATTCTTTGACGTCCAGTATGTCGGCATTGATAGAATTTAGCTGCTTTCCAAGTCTCAGGATCTGCTGTAGCAAGTTTTTGGGGCTGTCAACTTCGCTTAGGGGTAGACCAAGATCTCGCCCATTCTAGGTATGCTGCAATATATAGCACCTCTTTCTGTAACTCTTTAGATTTCTCCTCTCCGCAAATCTCTTTCCAGTAGGGAAGGTCTGCTCTTCTATTATTTGCTCGAATATCTTCTCTCCCTCTTTTGGGCAGCTTGATCATATTACATGCAGATTGAATAGCTTTTTGGACTGGTCTTTACTCCCGTTCATTATTCATGATAGATTGAGATATATGTTTTGATCAATAACCATTTTACCCAATCTTTGTGCTAGCACATTTCCTAGAACCGGTGATAAACCGACACAAAAACACCCTTAGACCTATCCTTATGCATATCCTTGCAATTCATCGTTATGCAACAAGGGCTTGACCCTCACTGTCCATGAGAAAATAGTTAAAAATTGTAAAATTGGAAAGGAAATAATGTAGCTAGTATCTTATATATAGATTCTAGGAGTCCTCTATAGTCATTGACTCAGTTAGGACTATAATATAAATCTAATCTAATCTAATCTAATCGTTATGCAACACATAGATCCTTCCTTGAGCGCTGCTCTGTTGATACCTAAATTCCTAGACGGAGGGGTCCTAATGACCAGTCCCAATTCAGGCACAGCTCGTCAAAGACACTCATATTTTATGTAAGAAGTGCGAGAGCTACGTGTGGCACATAAAGACACAATATAAGGCAGGATTAGGGATTAGTATTAATTGTTTGGAAAATTCCTATAATGTTAAATAACAAGGGTTGTACAATGTTAGCTTGCCTTTCCAATAAAAAGCAACAATAAGTAATCTGGATACCAACTCCTCATGGAATACAAAATTCAATCCAGCTACCCAGGTAATCCATTCTAGCCGGGTTATCACTGTCCCTGGCACTCTTTTTTCCTTTATCACGACTAAGCTCTTCCATCACTGACGCCTCAAACTCTCTGTAATCAAGTCTACCCCAACCTCCTCTTTCATTAGCTTCGTTGGCTGCCTTTTCACATTTCCATAACCGGAGGAGATTAGTTTTTGATATACCTTCGGCCTTCGTAATATTATGGTGGAGTTGTTCTTCCTTGCTTTGTTCGAGCTTAAATGGAGTCTGATCCTTAGAGTCTGGTGTGGGGTTAGCTGGTCGACTTTGTTGTATCTGTGTTACCTTCTCATCAACTTCAGTGCTTCTTTTACAATCTTCCATCTCATTGATGTAAGACTGCTCGCTTCGAGCTGTGAGCTCATATGCATTTGGGCGAAATTGAGGCATAGTTGGATCTCGAAATATTTGTGTCTCTGACACATCGTCTATGGATATATTATTAGGATCAATACGAGGCGATGCTATTCTCCATGGCCCCGAGTACAGTAATAGAGATGATGGCTCTTGTTCGTTTGTAGTAAGAGATGATGTAGGCGCCGGTGAGGAGTCAAAGACTTGAGCCCATTGTCTGAAATTATCGCTCGTATCTTCGGTACGAGAACTTGTCCTGTTTAAAGGGCCATCTACCAATGAGTTTATCTCATCACCACTGTTACCTCCTGTAATGTTGGTTTCCGTCTCTTCAATTAATTCTTCAGAGAATCCTATGCTGAGTTCTTCAAGGATAGACTCAGTTGGTACGAACTTTGTTTTTGCCTCACTGTTTGACGTAACTTGGCTGTGTTGGGGTCTGGATTCTTGTTGTTGAATGGCCCATTCTTCAAATTCAGGGTTAGAGTATAAATAGCGATAGATCTGTCGTTGATGTTTTGTAGATGCATATTCGAGAGCGAGATCCTCTTTTTCTTTGAAAAGATGGTCGAGAAGCTCATTGAACGCTTGTTGGGTTACCTGATAAAGAATTTCCTTGCCAGCATCTTTCTCAGCATCTGGAATTTCTAGCCCTCCCCATCTTTCTGGAATGCTTCGAGAAGATGTAGATATGTTTGATCTCGTGTCAAAATCATCCATATCTTCGGCAAAGCGAACTTTGGACGATGAACGAGAATGTAAAGTTGGACGCGGAGACTTGGAGCTCTCTCCAGCAACTCCATTCTGTAAAAGTATATCGTCATCTTCTTTCCAACCGGCAGGAGGCTTGCCACCATCTTCTTCGTCAGTGTAAAAGTACCGCCGTTGCCAGCGTTCGTAGGCCTCATGGTGGGATCTGATCCGAAGAATAGCATGAGAGATTACTTCTTGTCGACTGGAGCGACGTAGATCAGCGATTCGAGCCCCCGGCCCATCTACTGCTTCTGCATCTTCATCAGTAACCTGAACGAACGTCGGAGGCCAGGCTTCATCATCAGATTCGCTGCACATGTCATCATCTTCGATTTCAGCTTCGTTGTCATTATCTTCATCAACTTCACAATCACCATTTTCTTCGTTATTATCATCAACATTGTGATGAACTTGATTTGATGTAGTCGGTAGACTGGAAGAGGCAAGATTATTAGATTGAGTGAGTGGTAGGTTCTGATAATTACCCGCGGCTTGAGATTGCACACGTTGTAAACCATGGATGAGGTCAGGAAGCGGTACCATTGTTTCGGGTGGATTTAGCATCACTCCCCAGTATGTGTGACTATTCATCCGATTTTCAGCCCAGCTCCCCCTCGAGAAGTCACGCTTGAATACTTCGTACCGATCTCCATAATCGTGAGAACTTTCATTAATGACTCCTTTCCCATCTACAATTTCTAAATCGCCATTTGGTTGAAAATTTTTTCCCTCCCCGGTCCTGAGATCAGGTGCCCTAGGAAATCGACCATCTTGACCAAACGCACTACTAAGAGGCTGACGGCTGCCTACCAGACGATGAGCATCTACACTACTCATATGCTGAGCTGTCATTCCCTCCAACATATCAACATGCATAGAGCGATATAGAGCGTAGTATGAGCGGAACATACGTAAGAAGTCCTTGCGGTCGACATATCCATCTTCATCAATATCGTATCCCTCAAAGATCTTCTTCCATTTATTCTTCTTCTTTCGATAGGCGAGACCATGGAGAAACTCTGCGAATCCGATCAAATCATCTTTATTGGTGTCGTAGAAGGCAAACATTCTATCGAAGATAAGGCATGGGCCAGACTGTCGGTAGCCACCTGTGGGCACGAGGCATCGCTCAAAGGTCTTTCGGTCCATGGCGAGGTTAATTTCATACGGATCATCTCGCCAATCCGTATTAGCCATGAACGTCCATTGTTCCCAGTAGGCCTCTAGTTCCTGCCTCTCAAATCCTGTCTCTCTAGAGAGTTTTATCAGTGTCTCTTTTGAGAGCTGTCTATTGACTGAATCTGGATCTCCCAAGTACCATACGGGTTGCATATTTCGAAGACCTGTGGATAGAGCCGGCACTTTAATCTTGTAGAAAATGTGAGTCTTTAAATGTACTCCTTGTGCTTCACAACTTTCACACAAATCATAATCTGCGCAATTTGAACATCGAAACCTTATGCCTCGAATGGGTACCATGCCACAACAGTTACATGCACAGCCTCGGTGGACGTAAGCATTTCGTTTTGTCGCGTCTTCCGATACCCGGAAGAGTAGTTGTACAATATTTTGACCATTTCGGTCATGCGAATGCGGTGAGGTCCAGTCATAGGCTTCGTGGAAGAGATGAGAGTCTACAAGGATTCTATCAATTGTGTACACCAATAAGAGGATAATTATGGCTGCGTACCATTGTTGACGTCTGAATTTTCCATCATCATAATTGAGCCATCATCACTATTTCCCGCCGTGCTCTCAGTTGTTCGGGCTCTGCGACGGACGGCATTGCTGCGATGAAGACGGTTTGCGTGAATGGAAGGCTCTGCTAGAAAAACTTTGTTCAAGACTTGATATGACGCAAATATAGCAGCGAGACTAGCGACAACAATTAGGGTCGTTCGAGGCTGAACAAAGGAGTGGAAGGGGAAAGTTGAGGAGCTCGGAGTTGAGACGAGCATAGGTGACCAAGACATTCTGCCAGACTTTGGTACGAGCGCACCGAAGTCTTTACTTCAGGGACCATTTCCGGCGATGCAGGTAGAAGGCCAAAGGCAGCAAGGAGTTTTGGGACGATTGATTGGATTAGTGAGTTCGGTTGATCCAAGCTGGTCTCGCCTTTGCTGTACCAGTGCTACTCTTATGATAACAAGACAGCTCGGAGAGATTACGAGTTTTATAGGAAAGTGGCACCGACTAACGATAATGGCATTTCTATCCGCAATATTAGAAGACCTTTATGACATCTTTAAGAGTGATTGGGTAGTAAGATTAGTCATTGAGGTGCTTGTTATGTTTGCCTGCCGCTTAGCGGCGCGGATGTCTCAAGGCATCTGGAATCATGCTTCAATGCACTTTGTAAAAATTATTCTGTTGTCCTAAAGGAACTAATTTTCCTCTCTATGTTCGTACCCGGGAAGCTCATGATGCATTTTCAACGTACGGAGAAGGGGAGGAAATTCAATGTCTGTCAGCGATGTCCTCTACAAACCTCCAGCTTTCTCTTAGTTACATTAGATTTTAATTTCGAACGCAGTCCTACCGTCATGACAAAAATCCGAGCTAATTTACAGTGTATGACACAATAAAAATTAGAGCGTTCATACCGCAGAGTTCACTCACAAATACCAATGCGAGGTGATGGTGGCTTTATCTTCTCACAAATCAGCCCTCATCCGTGCATGTCCACCCAGGTAAAATTCTCAAGACCCCTGAGTTATCCAGACATGCCTCCGTCATCCATATGTTTTTCTCTGCGCAAAATTTAATCTAAGACATCTCCTTCCAAAATGGAATAGGTGCCTAGGCTACTCAAACTATACCAGAGTACACCACCAGAAGGCGGACCACAGCAACTTCCACCCTTGGCTTGTTTTTGTTCTGTCAGTTGAACTCTCGCAACCGAAGATGTGGCGCGCATAAAGCTCTTCAACAGTTAAATTTCCTTCCCGAACTTCGATATCTCACACCCGTCGAAATTGTATTCATCCTCTGCTTCATTTTGTAAAAATTTCCCAATTTCTTTCACGTCCATCCCAAGGAACAGTATCCCGAATTTGTGCGCTGCGAGTTTTGACCTCCAGAGGATATTCGTGTTGTCGTGGGCGTATATTTGGCGGCCAGCTAAGGCGAGAGAAAGTCGACGAGAGGTATGGTCATTGGGATGAGGATGTACTAGGTCGTATTTGCAGACTTGATGAGGCTTAGATAGAAATCTATTTCATTGAGAATGAAAGATTAACATGGTAGATAACCTCGAATCATTGCCTCGACGGCCAACTTCTTTCGTATAGCGAAATTTGACTGAACTTGGCTCTGTAATGATATTTTACTCCCAGGTTCGTAGAGCACACTGCGCACAGGTGTTGAGTCTTGTCCTCCGGAGTCATGGTTGTGATTATTGTTTACTTAGGAGTAACATGGGTTAGACGTTCGGAGAAGTTATATACCTTGTAATTATAGTCCCATATACGCGTGTAGATGAGCCTGTAAGTGGTACGTTAGTATGGGCTAGGCAGCAGCATTCCTAGGGAAAGCTGAGACAATAGAAATAACATAACTTTACTTACCTCATCAATTCATTTGTTCTACCTCCCATACTACTGTATTACCCGACTAAAGGAATCATAATCCCATAAGTTATGAGCCCGGTTTTCCATAGAATTTGATAAAGCAAGGTTACGCAATCACTTTAATTCACTCACAACTTTCCGCAATCACACGCATCTTATCACATCTACCCTCAGCTACTCACATCGATCGGTAGACACTTGTTTCGACTCACAAATTTAACTTCAGCTGTGTATAAACCCATAGAAAAGTTACATAGAAGCTAATTTAGCAAATTAAATGTCCGATAACAGCTCAGAAAAGTGAACCGGTCTTTGTAAATCATTACCTGTATTGACTAAAGCAAACAAAACAGAATGGGTTCAATTATACGAACAAGTACCTGAAGGGGATGGGATACATTGGTTCCTAACGCATACTGACAGAGAGTACGCGCATATCAGAGATTCATCAATAAAAACCGAACCCGAAGCAAGATAGAAATTATATACTGCAGAAGAAGGTTCATTAAAATACTGGTGGATTACTCCAGAAAATGATATGGAATACAAAAATGCCCAAATCAATTTTCGCCTCCAAATTCGATTAAGATATCCGAAACAGATAAGGATATGATGGACGAGAAAACAGAAATTCCAGCCCAGTTGGCTTTACTTCAAAATAGGTACAAGCAGACCACATACACTTCCAGACACAGCACAATTGTGACCTTTACTACTTGGGAAATGAACGTTGAATTTAGCCCCTCAACGAACTACACAAAGCTAACCAAGCTGAGAAAGGAAGTTCATCAGTTCTCACCCGGAACGAAATTATTAATTGATTTTATGTGGAATTTATTTATTGTCGGACTTCCTTCAGTGCACGAATATATAATATTGGCTGAAAAGTTTTCCCACAATATGATAGCTACTGAGCACCTCGATAGGCTAGATGAAAAATGGACTTATCTGCAAATAAAAGCGCGTGGTAGCGAAAGAGCTTTTCAATCAAATATGAAAGTTAATGGACTCCGTACCAACGGAACGGGTAGTAAAGATTTTGGACATATAGCTAGGAAAGAACGCGACACGAATTGCTAAAATATGGCTCTAGTCATCATACTAGCTTTTCATGTCCATACGCTGAGACTAGTTCCTAGGCTGCAAGAAAGGCTCGCATTCGGAGAGAAGGGTAATAGAGCGATGATGATTCCAAAGTTTACTTCCCACCTCGTCGACATAGTGGGAAAGATAAGCCTCGCAAGATTGGGTATCCTGCCTAACCTGAGCGCAGCAATAAACCAAGGTCTTCAATTAACTGGAAACAAAATTCATTAAGAATCCCTCGCGATTTGTCACCTTTTCGCCGCCACGTATAGGCACAATTTATTGAGAATGACTCCGACAATGAGCCCCAGTCCGATGATGATGAATCTGGTGGCCTCTCATGGCAAAAGCGCTGTAGGATTCTACCTTCCGCTTGGGTCGCTGACTCTGGCTGTAAGTCTCCAATGATTGACAACAAAAATCTTCTCAGCTCACCATAAAATACTTCTCGGGGAAGAATTCAACTTAGTGGAAGATTTCTCTATTCGATCGGGATAGGCACAGCTATGTTAAAGTTAAAAGATGGAAGATCTATTTTACTATCAAACACACTTTATGTAACAGAACTAGGATGTAATTTATTATCCGTAAAGAAAATGGTTACAGGAAATAGTAATCTCGGCCAAATTAGTTCTAATCGAATAGTTTTCATCAATATTCATTCCAAAAGTAATCTTATTATGGCAGAAAATTACAGAGGACTCTACATAACCTCGAATATATCTGATGATGCCAATGGTCAGATATTTGATAATGCTGAAATGATACCTGAGATGTATCAAAACAGGTTAATACTCAAGATAATGGTATGCCTAAATCATTCCAAGCAATGGAGGACGTCTCGGTTTTGAAGACTGACCCTAGAGATAAAGTAAAATTGGATCCTTCCCTTGACAACTATAACTAAACTAGGTATGTTACTGATAAATCAAATTACGGGAGGAATGAATTTGGAAATGAAATCAAAGATAGTGAAAATAATGCTCTGCTCCGAAATATTAGAAAATTAAAGAATGACGACCTCAAAGGCTCTAAGATCATAGAGTCTTCGTTTAAACGACGAAAAATGCAACGAGAACCTTCTCGTTATTCCTAGTATCACAGGAGATTCTGTCACGCAAGCTCTCAGGCGCTTTCTCCTCTACATACTGTCATAATAACGAGGTCATGAGAAGACAGAGGAATACCTGAAATGGATGCAGATAATTATGGATATGCGGATATAATAGATCTAGCTGTGATGCGAAGATGCGTTGGAATGGACAGTGGTGATATGGTTGTATATCTATCTGCGGAAGTATTGCTTCATTATATACACGTTCAACCCCCAGTCCTGGTCACGCACTCATCACAGGTGCTTCCTACTCCTGTCACAATAACCACTTCCATAGCCACTACCGATATCTCCTGACATAACATACCATTGATACTGGTTGCTAGTGTGGACCTTCCGGGATTACAGAGCTACATACCATCGTCACATTGTATGCTGTTGCCCCTCGGTAGCCATCAGAGTGATGTGTACCTCATTCTAGACGCATTAGTCTACCAGGCAATGCTCGGACGTAGGGATGTTGTCAGAGTGATTAGGTCCTCAGCTGTGCTATCGGTGCCCTAATATCACCTAGCTTCCTGCGCCCGAGTGTCCAAGTGCCGCGATAGTGGAAACTCGATGAGACTCGATCGGAGGTGATCCGTGGTATTCACAATACATACAGCATGCGATATAAAGAAAATTGTGATTCCAGGAAAATTACCATTATGTGATATCTGCGCAGCACAAAAGATTAGAAAAAGAAAATCAAAGAAACTAGCTGAGCACGCTGCAGAACCCTCAGCACTGATAATATTTGACATTGCTGGCCCATTTCCAGCTTCTTACCGTGGGTACAGATACTTTGGAGGGTTGATAAATAATTGGAGCCGTAAGACTTGGACACTACTCAAATATCGCAAGGACGAAATCTTTGTATTGTGTTGAGATATGATACATCTTGGGATTCCAAGAACAACTTATTTGTTCCTTGGATCTATCACCGACACACATGTAGTTAGCTTTATATTCCTGGCTCACATCTGTAAATAAATAGATCTAAATCCACAGAGATCATAACTTTTATCCATGGAGACTGATAAGTACTGTTCAAAAACCATAGTTCGTAACAAATGCGCACACGCAATCTCACTTTTATCATCTTACTTTACTCACAACCATACATCTCAATACAATTTTTTCCACTCAAATCTTCCTTCTATAACCTCATAGAAGACTCACTGTATTGGTCTAACCGCCGACACTGATTCCGCTCTAACTTCCATCTTCGCTCAAGCTCATAACTTCAACAAATTGAACCAATGGAAAAGCAAGATTGAACTGCAATCAGGAGCCAGAGTCAAAGCCTCTCGTACAGAAATGCACCAGAAATCCTACAAACTTTAAAAGAATGGGAAAAACAAGGTGTATCAGTGCGGCATATTGAACCTTATACCTCAACACAAAATGGTATTACAGAAAGATCAATACAGTCTACAGAGATAAGTATAATATTTATGCTTGACGATACAGAGCTTCCCGTATAATTTCGGTGTGAAACTGCACAGGCACAGGCGTAAACACCTGCTCGGATGCGGTGTTGTCCGATATTTATAGATAAAATGTTTAGCAAAGTTATACTACTATGAACCTCTCTCAGAGTTTATTGAATTGATTTTTCTCTCCCATGAGGAATCTATCTAGGTACTATATACATCTTGAGTATCCTACTAATTCCGAATATAGATTGAATATTAGATTGCCAATACGAACTGCTCAAATCTCTGTTCCATACATGGGTCTAAAATTGGCTGTTACATTATCATGGGCAATAGAAGGAGTGAAACAACAAGGGAGTTGTGCGTATGAAATTGGCCATCCGTCTAATCGCTAATTGTAACATTTGCATGACTAAGTTATTGCCCTTGATGCATCAGCCCAGTTTACTTGCTTGTAAACTACTCAACTTAAACATCATGAGACAACACTTAAACTTAGGGTAATCCGTTTGACATAAAATCATTGACAATCTAACAAAAAAACCTGTATGAATTGAGTATCAAATATCTCTAGAGTAAGCTTTCACTCGTAGAGTCCCACTCGTTCACAATTATAGTAAGACATGGGGCTGCAAACTTATCACGCATGTCTCCAGGTCTTCATTGACCAGACCGCAAAGACAGATTCATGCCTTCTGGGAGAGAAGGTATCTTTATAGGATATAGTGACAATACACGGCTCATTATAGAGTCTATGGACTGGATATGCACACAAGCACCACATCAAGCAATGTTATTTTTTTAAGATGTGCCCCGACGAGCTATTGCTATTTATCAAATATGGATAGAGGTTTCTAAAGATAAATTCAAGGAAAGTTACGGTAGCTACAATATCATGCCTATCCGAAAAAAACGAGGTATACCAAATGATGATACAGGCATCGTCAATTATTTAGAACCAACTGCAGCCATTGGTGTTGGAAAAGATTTACGTTGTAACTAGTCGATAACAAAATGGTTCTATGCCGGCAAAGACGAATTCTTCATCTTCCAGTGGTACCGGTGTAATCGCTCAGTATGCTCTGCATTTCTGAGATAGCCAAGAAGAATCGCATCCGAATCGAAGTCGAAAGCAAACACATGCATATCTCCATTTGACGACTTCTCAACTATGCAGCACTCACCATTATCTTCTTAGTCCTCAACCCCGATCTAACCACATATCAACTCGCCTCGCCGACCGATAGAGGCGTCACCCCAATTGCAAACAGGAGCTTGCCTCATTCATTACCGGCCATCACTCTCTACATATTTACGACGATATTTATACCCGCAAGGAGGAAATCAAGTCGAAAAATACAAAGTTGGGGTCTTGGTTTATGGGGGACTGCTGCTCTAATGGGGTTATACATCTTGAGGAAGAACAGGCAGCTGAGATATGGAGCGAGATGGGAAAGAAGACTCTGAAGACTGTGCTGGGACTGACATTTCTGAGGTGTTTTCAACCTTGGACTTTTTATGGGCGCCAAGACCAAGATTTCGGCTAATTAACCAGGAGGGCTTCTATTATCAATGAGTCAACGGCACTCCCCAGCACCCTGGACGGCACAAAAGAAGTTGGGCTAAACTACTATACAGCAATCACGCTCTGTCAAGACTTTTCTGACATTTCAGCACGACCTTCGGGAAGGAGTTGGAAGGAGGCTAGAAAGGCAGAGGGTGAATTTCCCGAGGTACCCACAAGTCTGCAGCGCCCAGCTGGCCGGCCTCTTCGAACGCTTCAGAAGGGGCAATATGTCTTCGGATTTATTCCTAATGTCGGTATTAGAAGAGCCCCGCACCCAGTGGTTTTTGCGATTTTCCCGGCTGCCATACACCCGCAAATGGCCATCGTTTCGTTGGCTGGAGAGGGGAGATCATGAAGGGCAAAGGGCTCCTCTAAGTGTATGATCGAATGAGGACTTGTGAGGGGTGGCACTGTTTGAGGGGAGCTGTATGGGAGGCATAGGAGGGGATATACTACTGGTATAGGTATCCTTGGCCTGTAGGCAGAGAGGACCTGCATGTCCTACATAGTCATAGACTCAGACAGGACAATAAAATGAATTAAAAAAAAATGGTTCTATCTCTCTCTCTTTTCTAGTAGGAAATCTACGATATAATGTTACGACAAGAGCGCACAGACCCACATGTTACATAAACATCACACAAATAAAGCATATTTACCGACAACTGGGTCTAGTTACATTGAATATACAACAATTCATATCAGAACAGGATCACATCCCGATGAAATCTGTATTCCTGACTTGTTATTTCGTGATTCAAGTAAATTCCATTCGTCTAACATGATCGTAACATTATTGTCAGAATAACATGCAAAGCTTGTACCTGACATAATTTGTGGTTGGCTCAGGGAAGACCTTGGCGTATTGGATAATTTTCAGCTAGAAAATACTCGGCTCCCGTGTAACAGACGTAGTAGTCCAGGCTCAGGCGCGTGGTGGCTGAGGCGGAACGATGGAAGGGAGATTGTTAAAGGCTTTCATTTTTAATACGTGATACCTTGTGGAAGTTTTCGTTTGATTTCATTCTGGGCTGCTGAACTCGTCATGATTCAACATATAGATGCGTTTTGGCATGGTTCCGGTCATTTGGGTAGGACGAGGTACTTCAACTTTACGGTAGTTAGCCTGATCTGGCCAGACCCCACTCGTGCTCAAGCTCCCGTAGGAGTGTGTTGTGTTATCCATGCAACTTACCATGGTACATGCTTTAGGTCACGTCATAGTAGATGCACGTGACTGTGGAACTAAACCGTGGGGTGTTTAGTGTGTAATGCATGTGTGGGTATACTGGACTAAACTAGAACTCGATGAAATAGAGATAATGGAATCAGCGAGAGACTGATAGACTGAGAGAGAACGAGCTGGTCTTTTCTCGTAGGAGAGAAATGATATCATAAGGGAATGTTCTAGCATTAGGCTGTGAATAACACAGTGAGTCTGGAGCAAGATATAATGAGGTCTCAACCTCCATCCATTCATTGTAACGAAGTTTCCTTTGTACGAGAATATAGAGTCAAGTCTTACATATCACGAGAACACACGCGACAGCGACTATAGAGTCCTACTGTGAGCATAACTTCCCCAAGAGTATCCATCGTCCTGCTCCTATATAGCCTAGTCAATATAACAGAGTACGACGGGAGTTACTTTACCTAGCACGTTTATGAACAAATAAACAAACTAACAGACGTAGTGGACTGGTATTGAGTTGTTTTAGGGTTATATCTTGGCTACAGCATGTTAGGATTGTGTCTTGTGGTGTAAGGAAGCTATTTCTAGATATTATCATCACATGTCAGGTATTAGATAAGTGTAGATATACAAGCTGAGAGAAAGAGGAAGATAGACAGAGAGATAATTACTTTCGTTCATTTACTTCAATCGAAAACTCCTGTCCGGGCTATTCTTCCAGACACCTCCAGTCTCAATCATTAAAGCTTCCGACCCAGCTAAAAAAAGGTCGAAAATTCCAAATACTCAACATCAAAACCCGTCCCTGGAGCTTCAATCAAATCTTCTTTTAAACAAAAAATGTGAAAATGCCGACAAAGAAATATTAGCCTCAACCTTAGACAAAAATTTCACTATCAAAACCTCAGAGTATAGCACTAATGATAGAATATCAGCTGATAATTTGGACTTAACTACCAAAAAATATTTCCAGATGATATTTCAAATACAATCACAAGTAAAAATATTTCTGGGCCAATTGTCGATTCTACCATCACCGAAAATATTCCAAAAGATACCCCAAATACTTCAACGGCTGATAGTAATTCTAAAATAACTCAGACCAATGACATAGAAAGCGATCTTAGAGCTTCATCATCATTATTAAAACTTCTGCTAGATTTGTTGAAATCCAATTTAACAAACGCTATTGCCAAATCACGGATTGAAAACAACCAAGACGAATAAAAAACTCATGACATACTAAATCCCGTAATAAAGAGACTTTAAATTTTGATGACATTGTCAAGATAATTCCCCTTTCAAGGAGTTTAATGTAGCGATAGTTCTATAGGGTACGAAATGAGATAGTCAGTGGATTAGAGATCAAATGAAAATATCTGAGGCAAAAGTCTCACCGAGAGAAGCAGAGGAGCCAAAGGAAGTAGTGTTGTGCAATGGTCTTTCCAAGGAAGAGATGATGTTTAGAAGTAAAAGCATATTCATTTTCAGGAGACGTTGCTTGAGATCTGAATATACTAATGCTAAGCTTTCTTATATATCTAATTCAGTCCAAATATCCATCATACTTTCCATAATATCACGATTTTCATGATGTCACACCTTCTGTGATATCATACTCTCCCCAACACAAGGACATCGTATGCGATCTATTAAATGAAGTCTTAAACACATAAGCAATATTATTTAGATACAGATGATGTCATGACGAAGAGAATTACAGAATGTTACTTGACTCAAATATGAAGTCCAAAGACAGTGCATCTTCATCTCTACTATCAATAACTCATCATGATAGTTCAAACTGTAGAATCCTCGTGGCTCGTTGAGATGGGGCACTAAATGACTGTCATAATTCACCCCAGACTGATATGATCCCGTATAATTTAAGTCATGACATGTGCCGTTCGACATCATATTTTATCATTTCCGTTCGCAACAGCTTCTTAATCGAGTCAAGGCTTACTACCTTTCTGATTTCAGTCGCTAGAGCTTCCCTCATTATACTGCAATTATCTCTTAGCTTAGAAGTTATGAGTTGGGTCACATCATGGTTAACCATAAACGATCCTTCTTTTACTAGCACGTACTTATACATGGGTCATGAAGTTAAGGGAGTTATGGAAGTAGGAATGTAATGGTACAAGCAGACATGAGTAGGAACATTAGAGCAGAAAGATGTATTTAAGGAACTCGGGGGATATTGATGTTCAGTAGTTTCTTGTCTTATTCATGTTCTAGAGATATCTTGAACCACATCTTGAATCACGCCATGAACCGTACCTTGTGCTAGACAGTGAACAACGCTCTCAATGACGACTTGGAGACGACAATAATAGTGATAGGAAAACTTCGAAAAGATTAATGGTGATGAAAGCAATGTTTTCGTGGTTTAATGATGATGATAGCGATACTGAAACAAGTGAAACCGCAATAAGTAACAGGTTACAGCATAATATCCCAACATCATGTCATATGGCAATTTGAAATCCTGAGTATAGTAAAAAGTGGAAAGAAGTTATTGATATTGAGCTTCGGCAACTTATTGAGAATGGTACATGGCATGAAGATGTCCTTCCAGAAAAGATCAATCTTGTCACATCCAAATATGTCTCTCTTCAATTTAACGCGGATAGAACTGTTGAGAGATATAAGGCGCGACTAGTTGCTAGAGGTTTTAGACAACAATACGGTTTAGAATATACAAAGACATTATGGTTGGATTCTGCGGTGGTTCACCATTTTGGACGTTCTCCCAAGTAGATACTGGGTAGCTTGAACACCTACCCCATTCGAGACAGGAGAAAGCTGGTTCGAATCCAGTAGCAACCCACACGCCACTCTCTCTCTGTTTCGCGGTGATATTGTACTTGTGGGATGATGAAAGCACACTCGGATAGCTACTGGGTTTTCACGCTTTTCCCTGTGGTGGGTATGCACGGAAGAGGTTATGCGCCGTAACGGTTAACCTCGAGGGGTATCTGCAAATAAAATCTGAGTGTGAGTGTTTTAAACGTCAAATTGAGTCATCCTACCTAGAGTACATATCTTCCCATAAAACCTACATGGGCCTTAAGGCGCCAAGTCAGTAAAATTGAATAATTTATTTATGTATACAGAGACATTCGCACCGACCGCTCGAATGGCAACTTTCCGTGACTTTCTTGCCCTGACTGCTTGTGAGGATTTAGAATGTTATTATGAAGACATTAAAAATGCCTTCACAGAGTTTGAAAGTTATGGAAGGAAATTTGATGAAAATTCCAAAAGTTGTCTAAAGAACAAAACCAATAACAGTGCTCCGCTTCAAGAGAAGCATTTGGGGCTTAAAACAAGCTGCTCGTGATTGGAACCATTTAATTAAATTTGAGTTGCTTATTTAGGGATTCAATCAATGTAAGTAGATCCTTATCTTTTTATACATGTGCTACGAAATATTCGATTACTATTATATGCAGATGAGTTGGCGAGCGCTGCACAGAATAAAAGGGAACTTGACTAGTTAGAGAATCTTAGCGCACGCTTTAACGTCAAAAACCTTGGTGTATTTAAGAACTTTCTTCAAGTTCGCGTGACGAATGATCGAGTCGCAAGATCCATAGAGCTTGATCAAGAACTATATTCAGACAAAATTGTTACCAGGTTTAGATTACTCTTCCCAGCATATCGAGAAATAATAATTCCTATGGAAAACTACAAATATCTGCGTAAATCAATAGCAGGTGACAAAAGAATAGATACCACCCGGTATCGAGAAATTATTGGATCCTTGATGTATGCCATGATCTTTAAACTTCCAGTTATTGTATTCACACTTGATAGATTTAATCAATACATGCAAAAACCAGCTGAACACCATGACAATGTTACGGGATTAATCTTTTGGTGTTGTACTGTCTGCGCCAGAACGTCAGGGATGAACAAAAAAATACACATTCCGAAAAGTGGACCTCATAGATCTATCCCACAAGTTGACAGCCTATTGTGATCGTGATGATGAGTATTTCTACAAGAGAAAATGATGGCGGAATGCTATGCGTGGGTTCTAGAGGTGGCAGCATCGCGACGAAGGCGCCGCAAGGCACGAACACGTCCCTGAAAAGATTCAAGGAGGCAACTAAAGGCGAACAGTTCTCCAGTAAAGCCTATAGCAGAAGAATCGAGGAGGCTATCCAAGTTATCGAAAGCCTTCAGAAAGCGAAAGTTTCCCCTCTAAAACCTACACAGACAAGCCACAGTGATGAAAATTCTGCAATAGCTAAGATACTACGGGAAATCAAAGGCATTAAAGCCACCATAGCGTAGAACCAAACACCTATGCCAGCCCAGAGCCGCTACTTGGCAAAGGTTGCAAGCAAGGGAGAGCTCTACGGAACTACAATCCAAGAAGAGCAGGATAAAAAGGAGATAGCCAAACTCTCGAGCGAAGAATTGGTTATGAAGATAGGCGTTCAACAAATCATCGGCGCCAGATAGATGACAAACGGCCAAGTAAAGGTCTACTTTGCCGGAGGAGGGGCAAAAGAACTCATGGAGTACCATAAGGAATGGACGACGAGTCTAGCTACTCTCTGCACAAGTTGCAGGCCCCGTAGCTCAAGTCCCAATGCACGATATGCCCCTCTCCTTCGAGCCAGAAAACTTAGAACACTTGAAGTAGCTACAAAAAGCTAATCACGTCTACATCCAAAGAATGACAATTCAAAGAGCCGTTTGGCTAAAGAAAAATCAGCAGTTTGGAAAAAGGTTAGGATCGCTGATTCTGTGGATAGCACTGGCCACTCATGCAGACATGGCTATATCAAAGGGCCTGATGTGGCAGTATGAACTCAAGCCAACAGAGACATTTAGGACTGGCTTTCGCATGATACAATGCTTCAATTGCCAAAAGTACGGCCATATCGCGAAAATCTGTACAGCGGACTCGAAGTGTGGTCATTGTGCAGGAGAACAAAACACCCGAAACTGTACTGGGAAAAAAAGTTGTTAAATGTAGCAACTGTGGAAAAGGTCTCAAGACGTGAGATCAAAGCTGCTCAGTCAGAGTAGCTGCGAAAAATAGGGCTATTCAAAATAGGACCCAAGATCCAGGAATATTTGTTGTCGAAGAGAAATCAACGAGAGTCCAAGACGACAAATGGCAAATAGTCGGAAGCAGGAAAAAAAGAGATGGATTTGCAGGCCTCTACAATAATAGGAGCAGATGAAAATGTTATCGGTCTTAGACGTCCTGGCCGACCAAGGAAAACTTCATTCGTGACTCCAAATGTGCAAGGACTCTTCGCCCACTTTTGATAAACACAAGAACAAAGTGCGCCAGGACTGTGACACGGGCAGCTCAAGTAGATGACACTGAAAGCGAGATGGAACAATGAAGGACTCACAAATCGTTACAATTGTACAGTACAACGTCAACAGGAGTAAAAACAAAGTGCAGCAACATTTCCTTCAAGCTTTGAACCCATGGAAGCACCATATAGTGGCCTTACAAGAACCATGGCGCCATCCGACAGAAAACACCATCATCACCCACCTTGCCTACAAGTTGATCTTTCCAAGTGGCCACAAAGGTAGCACATGCATCTAAGTTAGCAAGGATCTAGCCAGTTGTAAATGGAAAAGAGAAGAATTGCCTCAAGATTCCTAAGGAGATATTACTTCTGTCAGTCTCGATAATAGTCTCGGCAAAATTTGGATACACAATATATATAATCCTCCTCCATCATTCCACACCAGTTTAGATCTAGGAACACTCAACTGGCTTCCGAATATTCTATCCAAAGAGAGCCAACATGTCCTAATTGGAGACTTTAACCTCTATCATCTAAGATGGGAAGGACAGGTAGTTGCTAGACCTCATAAACTTGCAGAACATCTGATAAATATGCTTGGAGTATACGAACTACAACTCATACTACCAAGTGCCACCATTATCTGGAAGAGTAGAGGAAGTCAGCACACTTGACTAGATCTTTGTCTCGGATAACCTCAAAAATACTTTTATAACATGCAAGCCAGCCGTAGAACTCGGAGCCTCCTTAGATCATATTCTTATCTGCACTCAACTCAAGACTCAATCATTCAGCCATAAAGAAAAGCGACCTCGTCCACAATAGAAGAAAGCAGACTGGGATAAATTCCATAGAAGACTTGCCTACAAGTTAGGGAGATTAAGGATGGATCTCAACCTGTTCATCCCCACAGCCCCTATCGATCGAAGAGTGACTGAAATCACACGAGCGATTCAGGAAACTATCGAGGAAGCCATCCCTAAAGCTAGGCCATCTATATTCGCCAAACCGTATTAGACCGAAGAGTGCAGTGAAGCGGTCAAAGAGTCCAGAAAGGCAAGAACATTGTGGACGAAGCTACGTTCCGAAGAAAGTTGGGTAGAATACCAGAAAGCAATCAACCGAAAGAAAAGTCAGATTAAGAAGGCTAAGATGATTGGATGGAGAGCGGTAGTCTCTGAGGCAACAATTAATCTGGAAAAATTATGAAAGATAGCCAAGTGGGAAAAGAAAAGTCCAGAGGAGCGGACAAGACTTTCCCAAATACCTGATTTGAAGGATAAGGTTGGAAAACTTTACACCGATGACACTGATAAAGCAGAGATTATGACTCGCCAGTCCTTCTCCCGACCCCTTCTGGCAGTCCTAGCAGGTATCGAGGAGGCAACTTACCCACCAAAGCTCGACAATATTTCTGATACTATCACCGAAGATGAGATCCTCGAAGCTATAGGAAAACTAGCTAACGAAAACACTCCTGGACCAGATGGTATGCCAAACTGGATGCTCAAAAACTGCAGAAAGACACTAATGACCTAGGAAATTGTTTAATACTTGCATCTCAAAATGCTATCATCCCAAAGGCTTTGAAGAATCCGTGACGATTATATCACGAAAGCCACAAGAGTGATCCTACGAAAATCCCAAGTCCTACCGACCAATCGCCATCTTGAACACTATGGGAAAGCTTCTCGAAAGGCTCGTTGTCAACAGGATATCGAAAGCAGCCGAAAACAATCACCTGCTCCCATACGAACAGATGGGCGTAAGGCTATTGAGATCCACTCTGTCTGCAGTTGAACTCCTTACCGAACAGATCAACGCAATCTGGGGTAGGAAAAAGAAGAGGGTAGCTTCTCTCCTCAGTCTAGATATATCTGGCGCGTTTGATAACGTCTCTTAAAAAAGACTTATGCATAATATGAGGGCTAAAAAGGTTCCCAGGTGAATCACGCAGTTTGTAGAGTCATTCCTAAAAGACAGAATTACAGCGATGAACCTCGGCTCATTTCAAGGGGACCAGTTTGTGACTTGTACCGGAATCCCTCAAGGGTCTTCCCTGTCGCCAATTCTATTCCTATTATTTGTCAGCACCCTGCTTCCTGAACTTCAGTAAACAAATTCCACAGCCGTAGGATTTGTTGACGACATAAATATTCTACAATGGTCAAACTCCACAGAAGAAAAAGTTCGGAAACTCGAGGAGCTTCATGGCTTATGCGAAAAGTGGGCTGAAAAACATGGAGTCAAATTTGCGCCGGAGAAGTATCAGCTAATGCACTTCTCTAGGGCTCGAACAAGACACAAAATGAAATTGACAGTCCAAATAAAAGGTCACCTAATAAGACTTCCAACTTCCCACCGAATCCTAGGTATCTACTTAGATCCAAAGCCGAACTAGAATAGCCACATCAAAATTACGCAGACCAACGCAGAATCACAGTCGTTAGCGCTGTGTATATTGACACAATCGACATGGGGAGCATTTTTCCACAAATTACTGTAAGTATACAACGCCATAGTCCGACTAGCCTTCACCTGTAGGTTGCCAATTTGGGCGGAGGCCGGATCTAATAGCAAAATCCCGGAGAAAATAATTAAGCCTCTGAGAAGTATCCAAAGAAAATGTTTAAAAATTGTAACAGGAGCATACAAATAAACAAGCTGTAAGGTAATAGAGCATGAAACCTGAACCCTGCCAATAGACATATACTTCAAGTATAGATCGCTTCAGTATACTGGTATATCGAGGAAATTGCCAGTTCATGCGACAATTTTGTCAGTATGCAAGCAGAAAAACAACCAGGAACCAGAATACAAGATATACGCGATGGAACACGTCGAAATGTTAGCTCTGTAGCTGTATTTATTGGGCTAGGTTACTGGTGTTTGCATCTGGGATGATTGCCACTTAGTTTTTGCTGTATGATTAGTCATCATATCTAAAAGACAAGTAGTATGTAAGACTAGATAGGGAGGAGAGAGATATACACATATACAATTTACACTAATGACCAAGTCCACTACTATAGTAGAGAAGTGATCACTCCTATTTTTACCAACAGAACAAAAGCTAAGGAAAGCTCCGACTGGGAAAAGATTTGCGGGAACAACGACACCAAGGAACGAAAAAAGATGGCCATTAAAATTGCAGCTTTCCAAGACAGCAGATAATATTTTTATTAGCAACAAGAGGGGAAGCACAGGAATGAACTACAGAGGAACGACCATCAGTATCCACAAAAATCTTGACAGGGCCCAAAGTAGCATAGCCTTGTAGATAAGACGTGAGCACATTGGGTTCAACTCTTATCTGTACAGAAGACATGTTCCTGGAGTAGACAGCCAACGGTGCCAATGTGGATATCTGTCCCAGAATGTCAAGCATATGATCATGACCTTCCCTAACTAGGCCAAAGGGAGAGGGGAGATATTAAGAAAGGCAGAGTCTTGGTCATGTGAAGCGACGCTGAATAAACCGAAAGATATAGCTAGAATTACAAAGTGGATACAAAAGGAAGGAATATTGGAGCAGCTTCGACTGACGATTGAAGCCGAAGCTACTATGAGGGCGAGAAAAGAGGGTAGAAGGAAGACAGAAGACAAACTTCCTTGCTACTGTCAAGGGATGGAGTGGATTTAGAGATCGTATGGTCACGCGTGATAGCACATGACCATACGATCTCTAAACCCACTCCATCCCTTGACAGTAGCAAGGAAGTGGACGGTATCCGCACTGGACATAATAGTGTTAGTGAACTTCTTGAAGGTAACACAACATGAAAGTGTAAACAAATTGAAAAGTTGAGGGGGTTGCAGAGAGGAGCAATCTAAAGATTTACAGAAAGAAGCACTAAAGGTTGCAGCATATCTAGAATGGGCGAAATCTTGGTCTACCTTAAAGCGAAGTCGACAGCCTCAAAAACTTGCTACAGTAGATTCTGGAACTTGGAGAGCAGCTAAGTTCTATCAATGCCGACATTCTGTATGTCAAAGAATAAGTTTCAAGGAATCCCCTCTTGCCCTTCATAAAAACTTGACAAGGGCCCGAAGTAGCCTAGCAATCAAAATTCGAAGCGAGCATATCGGGCTTAATTCGTATTTGCATAGAAGAAAAGTACCAGGATTCTGCGATCCATGCTGTCCATGTGGATACCAAACACAAGATCCTAAGCACATGATTATGTCCTGCCATTTGTGGTCAACTGTTAGAGGAGATATATTGAGAAAAGCCCGAAAACGCTCTTTTGAAGCAATGATTGACAATCCTGGCGATGTTAAAAGAATTACGCAATGGATTCTTAGTCATGGTTGGACAGAACAATTCCGCATGATAAATGCATTCGAAATGCTGATTATGAAACGAGACAAGACTGGCATAAGTAGGGATCCCTAATTGACAGACCTCTAGGTTAGTACGAGGCTCTGATAAATAGTAATGCTTATATAATGTGGTTCACGTCGGAGTCCGGGCGCAAGATAAGGAATACTATACTTATATAGACGATACCCTGTATCAATAGAAAATCAAGTTACATCTAGTCTTGAGCTCTACTATACATATTGGTAGTTTGGAGCCACGAGACACCCGTAACCTACGCCATCATAAAGCTAAGCTTATCTCACTTTCACACATATTAATCCATCAGGAACCTCGATTTTTTTTTTGAAGAGAAACTCTAAGTTCCATTATCACAGCTAGCCACTTATAAAGAAACTCGTTGGAAAATGTCAGAAAGTTCTAAATTTTCACCCGAACATCCAACAATTCTCAGTTTGAACAAGTTGTGGGAGAGCAATGAAAATGACGATATCAGAATTGGAGCATTGGAAAAACGGATGGACAAAATGGAAATCAAGACCATAATACGCTTCGAAAGAATCGAAAACTTATTGCAGCAAATTGTATCTGACAAGATCAAGAGAACTATTCTGATAATACCGAGCTAAACAATAAGGTTATAGACTCCAGCGCCTCCCAACCAACTTCATCACAAGAATACGGAAAGTCTTTTCCCACGAAAGAGATCACCACTCTTAATCTTGAAAATTCTCCACAGATCTTTATTGAAAATCTGTCAAAGATGCATGGCCTGAAGCTCTACTCGCACCTAACATCGAAGACAATATGTATACAAGCTCTAAGAATAGAGTCGTTAATAACCTGAATACAGTCTAAAAAAAGCAGATATTACAGTTTTCGAGAAGCTGCGACATATACAATCTGCATTTCGAATAGCGCTCGTGCCCTATCATCTCTGGGCAGAACGTCTATCTCATGAGCTCGATAAAGACTTCATGGAAATCCGTGTATGGTCTGCCTCTAGACCTTATCTAACCTGGGTGGAAATACTGCACGCTATATTTGTCGCAATGACTGACCACGATACTCTTCGTAGCCCTTTAATGACTTTCTCGAGTGTTACGCCAATCAAGGAGTCAGTTATTATTTTTACACAACGGTTCAGGCGGGCATTTTATATGCTGTCTGCAAATGATAGAAATAGCCTATCGGTAACTACGATGATTACGGATATTTATAGTAAACACCTGCCCCGAATTTGGACGCTGGTAGAACCAAGCATGAACAATTTGTTGAACTACCAGAGGATTGAAAAGGTAGTGCAAGTCACTGAAAGGGTCTGCAACTGGTCAAAGGAAGAACAGACTTTCACTTTCGATTCATCACCTTCATTAAACACAATGATCGAGCAGCCTCTGACAGACGCACATACATTCTCAACGGCTGATAGTGCATTTTTACAGGGCATGACCGATCAAGCTTTTCCTACCAACAACAACTTATGTTATTGTTGTGGTAAAAAAGGTCACTGGGCTAACACCTGTCATCACCAACGTGAAATGCCAAGAAATTCTAGGACTCAGATTGAACCTCAGAAAAGAGGTATCCAATATTGTCAACCAGATCTCACCCAAAGATTTAACGCTCTGAGATCTAAACCGAGTATGGTTCGTTCAAATCACCAAACCACCAGCAATAATCAACCCCAACGCAATAAATCCTACATTGTGAATACAAAGGATTTTACAGATGAAGAATGGGAATCTTTACAAAAGCTAGGTGCAGAAGAGTATGAAAGCTCAAGCTTAAAATACGGCGACATGCATGAAAATCTGGCCGACAACAAAGAAACCTAATGGTGCCAGGATGCCTACTACGTGGCAGTAGGTGTCGGCGAAATCAAGCCACACATAAAACATCTTCGAGAAGGCTTTGGAAAGCCCCATAACATATTCCTCACAAGACTGTCAAAATTTCCTACTATTACGTTCACTACATTTTTCGACTATGGATCTCCTTCTTGTTATGTTTCTTTTTCCCTTGCAAATAAACTCGCTCCTTACAACTCTCTTATTTCATCTACCGTGGCTGGGATCGGGGGAAAAGGCCCTAAAATTATGCAAGCCGAATTTTCTATATTAGATCTATCACAACAAACTTGGACCCCCGCATTGACTGTTTCAGTCGGTGTAATACCTGATTATACGTTCCCAGTCGATCTCACCTTCGGACAAACTATGTTTCACACACTAGAAATCCTCTGTCAAAAGGATGGCTCTATCCGATTATCAACAATGCAAGGAGAACCGACCATTTACCCGATGAAATTACCGTCGTGTCCCACTCAACTCTTTACTATCAGGGATAAAAGACTAGTCATCTTTCACAAAGAAACCACAGATGTGGGCATTCGTTTTGGCATGAAATATGCAAGTTTATTTCCTTCCACATTCTATAAATCAGCACGAAAACCCGATAAAATTGCAAAAATAACGCACCGAATCAATACCCAAAACCATCCCCCACGTCGCTATTGTCCAAACTAGCAGCAAGCAATACGTGATTTCTGCAAAACCTGTGAGGGTTCAATTATAAGAAAGAGCAAAGGACCTTGGGCAGCCCCTATTGTATTAATACCAAATAAAAGTTTCAACTATAGCGACCAAGTTATTTGGCAAATCTGCGTTGATTATCGCGAATTTAACAAAGTCACGAACAAGCATGCCCAACCCCTTCCAAACGCTCAAGACGAAATACAAAGAGCTACAGGACACAAATAGCATTTATTTCTTGACCTCGAAACCGGATTCTGGCAAATACGCATGCATGCTGATGACTGTGAATAATCTGCCTTTGTCACCCCCTTTGGGATATAAGAATGGATGTTAGTGCCTTTTGGCCCATGCAATGCGCCTGCAACATTTCAAGGCTTTATCGAAGAAGTCTTGGAACCATTTCGCCTTTTCACAGCGGGCTTACTGGATGATGTAGTAATCTGGAGAAATTTAATTAACCAGTTAAACACTCATCTACTCTCTGTTCTATCTCGCTTCGCGGAATATGGTCTAATTCTTAATCCATCCAAATGTCGCCAATTTATGCCGGGCGGAATATTCCTAGGTTTCTCAATTTCCGAAAAAGGTATTGCTGCAGATCCTGAAAAAGTCTCCGCTATCCGCAACAGATCTTTACCTACCACGACATCCGAAATAAGGGGATTTGTCAGCGCAGCCAGTTACTTGAGGTGCCTTTTTAAGAATTTCTCCTAATTAGCATGCCCTCTCATAGATCAATCCACAGGACCAAAGAATAAGCCGGTTATACTAACACAGGAAGCAATTGACTCGTGGATGTTTATAAAAAAAGTTATGTCAACCCCACCACTAATCATAAAAATTCGACTGGCGCCTACCAATAGTTGTCGAGACAGACGCGTCCCAGAAATATGTTGGAGCCGTACTCTTGCAACCTCACGATTTCGCAGTTGAGGAAGAAGCAAAAGCTATTCTGCACCCAATAGCTTATTTCTCTCAAAAGTTAAACGATACACAGCAAAGATGCTCCACTGAAGGAAGCGAATTACTTGGAATTCTCCTGGCATTGCGACATTGGCGACACTGGGTAGAATAAAGCAATGTCACTGTTATAACAGACCATGAATTACTCAGGTCTATTCAAACAAAAGTTGAGCAGCCAGCGCGTATCATCCGATTCCTCGATTCTGTTGAACATTACGGTATATGTATTCTGTATAGAAAAGGAAAAGTGAACGTGCTCGCAGATTTTCTCTCCAGACCATCAGAAGAAGCTTACCCTTTGGAAGAAAACGAAAGGGATATTGGAGTGGAATTAACAGATGACCCCGATCTAATCGAAATGCCAGATCTGCAAATGGTAAAAAACACTGAAGAATTAAATCGCGTTGACCTTGGTTGTATCTACGAGTTCTTATCCCAAGATCAACGCTTACCGACCAATCTCTGTCCTGCATGGGTCAATAAAAACTTCGTAATCTATGATGCTAAACTACACCGAGTTATGATGAATCCAATGACTGATGTCGGCGATCCGCCAACTTCGTCTGGGAAAGCAATATTTCTCGAGGTCTTAGAATATCAAGATTTAATCGACAAGTCAAGATAAATACACGAGAATTTAGGTCACCCATATGTTGGTACAACGATCCGCGAAACAACCAAGACATAACGGCGTCCTCAACTTATGTTAGCCGTACATGAAGTCATTCGCACATGTATATCTTGCTAACTTATGAAACCTCCTGATCCGAGCATAAGTGACCTAGGACCAGTCCAACCAGCATCCCCACTTACCCGCTGGGGAGTAGATTTCATGGATAAACGTAGTGGGAGCTAGGATGGTGTTTCATGGAGAGTTCCATGCCAAAACACAACTCGATGTTAGATTGAATTCCTAAACAATTAGGACAGACTCAGGAACATAGGGTCGTTACATAGGAATTTCGTAGTAATACTGTTCGAGACAGAACTTAGGGCTGTCCTATTATCCGATGTACATATTGTGAAGGGTTAAAGCAGACGGTCAGCGCAAGCAAGCAATACAATAAATAATTAATATTCTTCTATGGGAGAGATAACTACAACTGGATGGTGCGCACACAAAGTGCGCCCTGACGATTACCTTACAAAAGCACTATAGAGAGAACTTGTTCGTGCGAAAGGCCCAGCCTTTCACTACGTCCGAATTAAAAGCAAGGCTGGGCACGCAGGTCAGCCCAGACAACCAGTAGCGGGTAAACCCGTAACACATAAATACCCAGCGTGAAGGAGAGTACTCCTTCACGCAACCCCTTCTGTTTATACTCATACCTGTTGTTCACATACTTATCTCTTCTCTAAAAACGACCGCCGTTATTTTACCGACCTCACCTATCACTCACCTTACCTTAACCTCTTCTGTAAACCCTATATCTTGCGCTGACTTTATACCTCCTACCCTCAGGAATCACCACTATACTCCACACCTATACCCTACTTTTACACAACTCGTACCCTACGGAATACCTATAATATAGTAACTTGAGAGTAGATCATACGCAGGTAGGTTCACGAATTTTTCTCAATGCAGTTCAGTACGCTACGGGATGGCTGAAATCACGAATCGTACCTAACGCTGACTATGCTAATACCGTCCCTTTACTTTTGCACATATTTTATGCTTTTGGAACACCCAAGTAAATTATAAACGACAATGCCAATTGCATCAGTGGGCACGAAGCACAGCTGTTTCAGATTAAGCACGGATTTACAATGTCTCATATTACTCCAGCTAGACCTCGAGGCAACGGAAAAGTAGAACAAGCCAATGGTGTTCTCAATGAAATACTGGCTCTTTAAATTCTTGATAACCCCAAGAGACCACTGGATAGATCACTAACGCGCGCAGTTTCTATATATAATCGCCGTATATTACCTTCAGGTTACAGTCCTTATTTCCTACCCTTTGGAACACAACCTCCGGAAGCAGAACTTGTATACCCAATATACACTCGAGAAGCTACCTATACAGAAGAACAAGAATGGGTTAAGGAACTGGTTAACTTTCAAGCTGCACCAACTGCTAGATCGTTCGTAAACAGCATGGAAGCTTCCAGAGCCAAAACTCGCGAATATTTACTATAGTTGAAAGCATTAACAAGAATATATGCCCCCGATAACTGGGTACTAAGAGTCTGGCAAAGAAGATGTCAAACATCTGATAGTTTGGAACCTACTGAATATGACAATGAGAATCATTGGATAGTGGGATGACACATCTTGTCAGATTAACTAACTCGAGATTTGATATATCACCAGGGATATGGTGTTCAGGATGTTCAGGATAGTCAAAGCCCCAACTTGAGATCTTCTGATCTTCAACACATGTAATATATTTCATATGTAATTTTGGGAAACGAGGAGAAGATAATCTCTCCTTGAAATAGTTTCAGATGGGCACATTGCATCACTGCTGGAGAGGAGTTGAGGAGCAGAGATTTCATCAATACAACTTTACTTTACATTTTTCATTTGACCTTCAGTGTATAATAGAAGACATAAATTTGAACCCTTCTACGAGGGGCCTTGGGCTATCGCTGAATGCCATTCCAGTAACAAAAATTCTCTGGTGTCATCTGAAGGATAAAAAATGGCAAATCGCTACAATGAATCCAATCTCTTCCCAGCATATACTCGCGAAGGCCATCCAATACGAAGCTTGTGGTACGGAAGTCAAAGAATGTTAGACCAGGATAGGAGACAATTAAAATCAGCAGTAGGAATCTAAGTGTATCAAAAGCAAACCTTGAGTTGAAGACAACTCTTAATTGAGAGGAGTGATTAAGAATCCCTAATTGACAGACCTCTAGGTTAGTACGAGGCTATGATAAATAGTAATATTTATGTAATGTGGTTCACGTCGGAGTCCGGGCGCAAGATAAGGAATACTGTACTTACATAGACGATACCCTGTATTACCAAAGTAGCATAGCCATACAGATAAGAAGTGAGCATATTGGGTTTAACTCTTATCTGCACAGAAGACATGTTCCCGGGGAGGGCAAGACTGAATACCTGTACGCGGTGTCCCCTACAAACCTGGGAGTGAAATATCCTCCCAGAGCCAAGTTCAGTCAAATCTCGCAATATCAAAGAAGTTGGCCCACGAGGCAAAATTTCAAATTACTCCACCATGTCAATCTTTCACTCCCAAAGAGTCCGATTCTCAACTAAGCTTCATCATGTCTGCAGGTACGACCTAGTACATCCTCATCCCAATGACCATACCTCTCGTCGACTTTCTCTGGCCTCAGTTGACCACCAAATACACGCCCACGCTG